GATGACGTCTGTAGCTGTAGTTATATAACCAGAGCTGAACATTTTGTCTGTCATAGTTGCAAGGTTAAGAGGGTGACATGAATACCAGTCATAGTCTCAAGAGTCATGTGCAGCATACTGTCATATTTCCACTCGCTCAATGAATCCAAGTTCACAGAGCAAGGCATTCAAGTAGCGCAGTATGGAGGGGGATAACATGTTTTATGTTAATAATCAGCATCTCTTCTGACATTTTACCTCTGGGCTTAAGAGGCTTCCAAAAAAGCACAAATCTCCTGACTGGAGATTTACCAAACATTTACTATTGAAAAAAGGTCTGCCAAGGTATTTCAGGCCCGAAATCCAGATGTTGCTTTAACTTTGAGCAGTAAGGGTGATGATGAAAGAGAGTGAAGTACGCACAGATTTTGCTCATCAAAGCACGTTCCCTCCATGACGGAGTGGTTTCAGGTTGAACCATACAGATGGATATAAAGACAATAACAAAGCATCCGAAAATTTGACTCGTTCTAGTGAATATATCAAAGTCGAGCATCTTGATAGCAGCCACAAAAGTATGAGTGGAGGATAAAATCAGATGTCAGATTCGCAATCGAATCGTGAAACACCCAAAGATTCCAAGTCCTAATTATTACCGTTGATAAACGTTATAAAATCTGTTTCTTAAACTAACTTTTATTACTTATATGTTTCTAACTATAAAGTATAAGATTTTTCACATAGTAGTTTGTCTAACAATGTATATTTTTGTACAAGATCATCGACAAAACATGAGATATAAACATGTGATGTCCAGTTAATGCCCAACTCCACAACGTTACTTCTGGGGAATTTCTGTGCTTACCTTGAATCTGAGTTTAAGATAAGTACAAATGAATTATATGTGGACTCACAGATAGAAGACGTCTTATGTCTGGCTTTCAAATGAAAAATATTTGTTCTAAAATAAATTGCTGTTTCTTCGTTTCTAAACAATGTCGTAAAAAAGGGAAAAAGTGTCACAAAGTGTCAAGATACACTGTGTCTTTTTTTTTTATCTTGGGAAGTGGAGGCTGTAGTTTCAGGCCATGGAGAAAACAACCCAGCAACAAAGAAAGCAAATGCTCATCCAACATTCAAACAGGCCTTGTGGACAAGTGGACAATCTACCTAAATGTGTTCAAAACTTGAAATGGTTTTGTGGGCTGTTAGTGATCACTGAATGTGTAGGGATGCTGTTTCAGATATCAGGATTTTAATGGTCAATCACTGTGTCTTTCATGTTGACTTTGCCACGTTAGCCCATGGATTTTTTTTTACTGAAATCCATTAATAAGTCATATAACAGTATTAAACATTGTTTAACCATCCACAAGTGCCAAGTCATAGCTTTATTGTCAAAACAAAAATGTTGGGGGCACCAGCGGCCTAGAAACTAGTTCACGTGCCCATGAGGCTGTAGTCCTCGAAGTGGGCGGCATGGGTTCAAATCTGACCTGTGGCTCCTTTCCTGTATGTCATTCCCCCATTTCTCTCTGTCGCTGATTTCCAACTCCAACCACTGTCCTGTCTCTACAATAAAGACATCAGAAGCCCACAAATAAATCTTTATAAAAGTGTTGTTCTTCCTTATCTTGCATAAGCACCAATCTAAGGCTGTGCCATGTTCTCTGTTTAAAGCAGCACTATGTTGCATTCAATTACATAAATATTCTGTACTTAAGTAAGTGAGCAAAAGAAATATCGAGAATTTCCCCCTTCAAAAGCACAAGGAGACCTGATAATGACACTTGACAGTAAAAATGATTATGATCACAGAGTTAGACACACGTGTAAAGAGGATAGAAAAGTTATATTAAAGAAGATTTCTGTTATAGAATATTGATTTTGTTTAGTCTCTTGAACAGTGCCTGCTTGTGTTTAACATTGTTCATTACAACTGTCAAACCTGTCCAACTTTAACTGGTCAAGACAGAGCACTCCAGGAATTGCCTTTCTTGGAACAGTGCAAACAGGCTCTGAGAGCCTGCCAGACAGCTTTCAAAACACCGAAAAACATCAGGAACTATTGTTACAGAACAGGTTGTCAAGGAGCATGACAATTTCTTCTGATGGAAATAAATGCTTTAAATATGTTTCTATATAAAGTCAGAGTGCCTGTTTCTTATCTCTCTAGGCTGTTTCTAAGATATCACATATAAGTGTTCACTGTATTGTTGTTATAAATAACTAGGATTGCCTCTAATGTTTAAGTCTGGTATTTCTTACTAAGCTGTATGAAGAGATGTTGAAACCATTCTTGTCGAGTGTAGTTCCCAGACACTTAATCATGCAATAAACAGTGTAAGATATTGTGATAGGTTGTGTCACAAGATCATGTTATTCCCAAGAGAAACTATTGTCATAGAAGTGTAAAAGATGCCTATAGGCTTTAGGTACTGCACAGGGGGAAAAAAAGAGACAGGTAACATGAGAGTTTACATGTAATACTTAACCTATTTTTTACCATGATTAATGGTTGATGCATTTCTAGAGAAAAAAGCGTCAAGTTGAATCTTTTAAGACAACATATAACACGTCTAAATCAGGTCTCTTCACCTTCACGAACACCGGCATTACTTTTTAATTTCTAAAGCAAGAAAAAAACTGATGTCACTATGGATAGGTAGGGTTGAAAAATTCATACAATGTTAATATTAAATATGGGTTGCTCACATATATATAAGAAAGGTAAATGGGGCTTTGTAATTTGCTACCTGTGATGTTAGCCAACCTGATGTCAGATTTCACTCCATTTCATGTGTGTTTGAGATGAATCAACATGGGTTGTACATTCAACATTCATTCTATGTGGAGCGCCGCTCTGTCTTCTTAAAGAGACAGGAGGTGGAAATGATCCCTCTGCTGTTGTAAGGCCCTATACACCATTTGTGCATGCCCAGTCACACTAAGCAGCTCTAGCAATATTCAGACTAGTGTTCAGTTTAAGCTTGCAGGACATGGCCCAGTAACCTACTTTCCCCACAACATGCTCTGTAACATCAGAGACGAGGCTCTGTGTCATCAGTTAGCTAACCTTCACCACCCCATAGCTTCAGCAAATAAGAGGCAAAACCGCAGACACAGCAATGCCTCAGCAAAAGCAGAATACAAATGATCAGGTTTTATCTCAAAAAAAGAAAATCTTCTTGAGGCCTCTGACTGTATTAACTCTTAAGGTGAAATGAAATGCTGTAATAAAGTGATATGATTTATGTATTTAAAGACAGTGAAGAAGAGGAAAAATAAAATCTACAGAACAAGAACAATTTGGCACAGAGAAGAAAGAATAATAAAGAAAAGACAACACAGAGGAATTGTGATATGAGACAGGCTTATTACGAGGTAGATATTCATGGTTGTGTAATGCTTGTCTGGTAATCATGTAATTGGTTCAAGTAATGAGTGAACTCTTTTATAATAAGTCGGTAATACTAAAAAGTTAATTCACATTATGTGACATAACAACATCTGCTTGTTATTGGTAATTATAATAATGAGAAATATGTGCCTACATGTAGTGTTGCTTATGTATCAAACAGTATCTCATTATAGCTGTTAATGTGCAAAGACATCAAACTCTTACATTTAAACATCTAGATCCAAATATTTGGGGGCACCAGAACAATGCCTTGTGTGTCTCCTTTCCTTACACTATGTCTGTTCAACAGCCTTTAATGATGAAACTGGAAACAGTTCACAAAGAGATTCTGAACATCTAGACTGAACTGTGAGTTGATTTTTTGATTAACAGATTTTCTGATTACATGTCACTGGTTCTTGTTTGAAGTGTAACCATACACCAATATAGATCCATATATGGATTCAATGATCAAAGGTTCAATAGAAAATAATAGATTATTTTCTTCATTTATTCTCTGAGGTACATAGAGGGCTCTAACTCTGTACTGAACTATGTAATAATATTTTATTATCCTTTTTACAAGTGTGAGTTGACATAATGTCACTGACTGTATAATATTAATATAATATCAATCACAGATCACTGAACTGAATCCAGTCAAAATCATATTGTGACAGACTTTACCACCACTACCAAAATGTGTCCGAAAGGTGGATATATTATTGTATCATGATGAAACTTAGATGATTAGACCAATGTGTAGCCCACAATGTAAATTCCAGTTGGTAATGTTCATTCCCACTAAAAAAAAAACATCAAAGGAAGATGACCTAAGACATGAGACGTGCCCAAATGTTAAGCAGTAGCCTACAATGTAAAAAAAAAAAAAAGGAGCATATGAGTGAAGTGAACACCCAGTTTAGTCACTGAAGGAGCAGCCCGGCCTGTCCCACTCAGCTGTCAGCACACATCCTCATCACTATTCATGTCTGATGGGCCAGCCTCGCACTGACGCAGCATGCCGGCACAATGGCTCGAGTACCGACATTAGTATACGTGGTTTTATGACGCAGAATAATCGCTTGACAGTGGCTCCTGTCAACTTCAGCACCGGTACTTTTTGGCACTATCAGGTCCCCTTAACAAAGTGACACAGTTGCAATAAACTCGGCTTCAGCCAAGAGTTTGGGAAGTTCAAATAGCCTATTTTCTTTTTCGTGTTTAAAAAGCCGGACAGTATGGTTACCGAAAACTTAACAGGAATACTGGTTTCCATCATTGTCTGTAAAGGTTTCCAGGCAGGTAACTAGGCTACAAACTATGATTTATGGCTCTTAAGAAAAATGTCATTCTATATAGCATATAGTCGCTTCATATGTGTTGTTTGGTAGTTAACAGTCATGAAAATATTATATTAAGCATATTCTACGACTAAGTGAAAGAAAGCAGACAGAAAACTGCAGTATAAGTCCGTTATGCGTTTATACGTATAAGAGTTGTGTTGTGTTATAAATGTTATCTAAATTAAATGTGTTCCCGTTACGGTTCAGCTTGAGACAACATGACACAGTGAGAGGACCGATCCGTCTGCACGGGAAACACACAGCTGGAAACTTACCTTATTCGGTGGGAGAAAGGTCAGATGAATCCAAACGGAAACATGTGGAAAGAGCCGACTGAAAAAACGCGTCCTATATTCCAAAAAAGTTGCTGTGAGATGAAACTGTGCCGCCGGCTCGGTCTGCAAATCACTGATACCGACCGGCGATATGTTGGGGGTGTTTACCTGTTAAGAGAGTGAAGATCCTTATCGCCTCACACCTCAAATTTGACTTTATCGTGTAACTGACTCCTCATAAAATCACGTCTCGTCCACATGCACAGATGACGGCTGAATGAAGGGGTTTCTGCAGCCAGAGAGCGTCCACACTGACAGTCCCGCCCACTGAACTATATAGGCTACTAAGTTATGTGACCATCCATGTGTGTGCTTCTGGGTTTCTGTACGTGCAGTGGTGCTGAGTTGGGCTTTAAAATGCCCTTTGAGTATATAGAAAATCAAAATACGCTCCAGATATTCTTTAAAACATCTCAATTATTATTGCCGGATCGGGCAAGCATTCAACAGGTTATACAAGCACTGAATATGGCTGCATACATGTTCAATACACGGGTGTAGCCGACTGGTGATTTGTGTGCATCATGCCTTGAAAGGTGATTACAAAGCTGGTCATTCAATGCTGGTATATGTGGACTGCTACTGACCGGACATATTGGTAAAATGTAAAGGCAAGTGCATGTGAGGTTGTGTGATGCACCGGGTCCCCCAGGTATACGCTCAGGCGCCACCCTTGGGTCAACCAGTGTACATGCAGGAAGATTTGTCTACAGAGTCTAAGTAGCCCAAGATGCAACAACACAACGTTGAACTGCTAAAGTTCAAGGGGGAAGTACTTAAGTAATAATATTATTGATATAATGTAGGCTACTTTGATCAGCCCAATCGTGTCTGTGGACATATAAGACTACTTTATATGTAATACAAATAGGCTGAATTTATTTGTCCAATAGGACCAAAGATGTTAGATGATGAAGCAATTTAAAGGGCGAAGAAAATTTATATAAGTTATCAAATAAGGCCATCAAAAAGTAGAAATTATTTTTTGAATTTTTAGATTTAGAAGCAGTAAAGACTGGTTCACTTATTGCAAATTAAACTAAACAAAAAAAAAAAAAAAAGACACTTCTCTGGATAAACTCTAGTGAACCATTAAGAAGAGAAGGCAAACAGTTACCAGTGAAATTATACAACTGTTCAACTTCATTATCTATAGGCCTGGAGGTTTTTGGCAGGGCTCAAGCTTGAAGAGGCAAGCCTCACCTTGATTACTTGATTTCTCCATTGCGGCTGCCAAGATGACATTTTAGTCTTTCATAACAGTTCGAGGTGAGCTACTTTGGGCTCTGATTGTTAGTATGACACACATTGTTAATGAAAGTTCAAATGTGGCAACTAAATAACAACTCTAGCATGCTAGTAAACAGGTTGTGGTTTGAGTGGTAAACCCCATGTTGCCTGAAGAGTTTTTGCATTGAGTCATATCTTCAAATGATCTGGCTTTTGATTGCTCTTATGATTGTATGTGAGTGTTTTTCATATTGTAGATATGGACAGCCAAGATCAGTTTAATGCAGATGTATCTTTTGTTTCACACCCTTAATAAACACTGTGTGACTGAGTAACACATATCCTGACTTGTTGTGCATCAAGCTTAAAAAACATTAGATCCTCACCCTACAGCAACTTTGTAGACCCTTGCTGAGAAATGTCTACATCTTCATACACCCAGCTGCAGGCTATCTGGCAAAATTAAGAACCAAATTCTGAAATTACTCATATTGTTACACTCAAATTACTTACTAAACAATGATCCTCAGAAGACATTATGCAACTGTTGTTACTGGCTGAGCGGTAAGCCCCAGGACTAGTAAAATGACTTTCTAGGGCCATTGATTGTTATTTCACAGAAAATCCTTAAGAGCACTTTTAGTCAAGGCAATATATAAAAGAACATGGTTCTAAGAAGACAGCTTTATCAAGATGTTTATTGTTGCTTTATATGTTGGCACAAACATGTGAAAAACTTTTGTGGGTAGGCTTTATTTAAAATGGTAAATATTGAAATACATACGATACAGCAAAATTAAGTCAAATTTATGAAGGAACACAGGTAAAAAAAAAAAAAGTAAAAAATATATGTATATTAAATGGAGTTGTATTGCTCTTGTGTATGTGAGTTATGTATTAAAAGGTCTAAAGTGAAAAATTTGGTACTTCAAGGAGTAAAAATAACAGCGAAAAAATATGCACAAAGAAACAAAAGTAAAAAATAAATATTCATAATGAATTAAATAACAATAGTTTCACAGAACACAAATGGCCTTAATAACGTGATTAAAAGAAAAAGAATCCAACAAAGCTGAAAAAAATGGGTGATATAATATTCCTACAAGAAACACATCTCAATAAGGTTGAACATCAGAAACTTGGGAAATTAATGTCAGCTCAGGTATTTGCTTCATCCACAGCAAAAAGAGGGGTTGCTACCCTTATTCAAAGGCATGTCCCATTCAAAGTTGAAAAAAATGTTGCAGATAAAGAAGGGCGTGATGTATTAGTGATAGGGAACATAGGAAATAAACCAGTCACACTTTTGAACGTTTACAACCCACCAGGACATGATCCGGAATTTATGGTCAACCTACTGTCAATACTTGTTCTGGAGGCAAAGGGAATAACTATCATGGGAGGTGATTTTATTATGGTTATGAAAGCAAACGATACCCAAAGCAAAGGGAAACATAAATCAGAAAAGACTGCAGCAGTTATTAGGAAAGCTGAAATAGAAATAGGTCTAGTGGACATTTGGCGCATTTTAAATCCAAAAATGTAATTATTTACATATTACTCTGAAGCACATAAAATATACACACGACTTGACTATTTTTTTATATTTAAAGATGAGATTACAAGAGTGAAAAAATGTGAAATTAAGGCAATAACCTTGGTGGATCATGCTCCAATAATATTAACAATGGGCGATTAAATAACTCATTACTGTAAGATAAGAAATATAGGGACAAAATTAATCAAGCAATAGACAGTTATCTCAAAGATAATGACAATGGAGAGGTAACACCAGTTGTACTATGGGAAGCAGCTAAAGCAATGTTACGTGGAGAAGTATTATCATACGCAACCTGGAAAAAGAAAGAAGCAAAAAAGGAAGTTAAAGCAATTGAAGCAGAAGATGAGAGACTACAAAAGATACATGAAAATACGGGTGATGAAAATAGTAAATCTGAATTTTAAAAAATGCTAATTAGATTAAATAAATCATTAACTGATGACATAGAAAAGACCCTGGCCTTTATAAGACAAAAATATTACGGCAGTAGTCCCAAAGCTTTAAAACTATTGTCAATTAAGTTAAAAAAGCAAAAGGAAAAAATTGCTTAAAGTTTTTTAAAGTACTATCAAAACCTTTATGAAAACATAGAAAGTAAGTATCATGAAAGTAAACTATATCTGAACTCGCTAAATTTACCCCAGGTGAGAGAGGAACAAAATTCACAGTTAACACAACCAATAACATCTAGACATTCTTTAGGCAATTCAGAAAAGTAAGAGGGAAAAAAGCCGAGGGACTGACGGATATACGAACAAGTTCTATTTGACCTTTAAAGAAGCTCTTATTCCAATTATGTAGAGTATTTAGTCTTGGATAAGGAAGTTTGGCCCCCAACATGGAACTCCTCCATAATCACAGTTATACCTAAAGAAGGGAAGGACCTCACCGATTGTAGTACAGGCCAATCTCTAAACGTGGATCAAAAACTATTCACATCAATCATCGCAAACAGGTTATCAAAAACAACTCCACTTTTATTAAACTTAGATCAAACAGGCTTTGTTCATGGCAGACTACTCTCAGATAATATTCGACATATAACCTGAATGTGTTAGATTACTCAGAAAAATCATGTAAGCAACTGTTAATGTTAACTCTGGATGCTGAAAAGGCATTTGACCGACTGTCATGGCATTTTATATTTGATACTTTTGAACCTTTTGGATTTGACCATAAATTCATCCAAATTTTAAAAATAATAGACAACCAACTAAATGCAAGAATTAAGGTCAATGGGACACTGTCTGACACGTTTCTACTCAAAAGAGGTACAAGACAAGGTGAGCCTCTGTCACCACAAATATTTGCTTTATGCATGGAACCACTAGCTGAAAGTATAAGAATAAATAAAACAATAACTGGCATTCAAATTGGAGAAAATGAACATAAATTAGCACTTTATGCCAATAATGTGATAGTTTACTTAACAAATTTAAATACATCCCTCCCAACTTTAATGGAGGAAATAAGAATATATAGTTTAGCCTCTGGATATAAATTCAATATTAATAAAACAGAGGCAATGACAGTAGGTGAGGAAATAGAAAATGATCTTAAGAGAGAATACAAATTTAAATGGGAATGCAAAAAATTAAAATTCCCCAAAAACTGGAGGAACTGTTTTCAATAAATTACACAGAATTGACAGACCAAGTGAAAGAACATCTGAATAGATGGAAAATATTGAATCTATCCATCTTTGAAAGAATTAAATCAATTAAAATGACAATACTTCCAAAATTATTGTTCCTGTTTCAAAACTTAACAACTTATATAACGCCAATAAACTTTAAGAAATGGGATAAAACCCTAAGAAAATGCATATGGGATGACAAAAGACCGAGAGTGAAATTAAAAAAATTATAAAGAAACTGAAATCCACAGGGGGGTTGTCGTTACCAGATCTCAGTAAGTATTTCTATGCAGCTCAGATAAAACACATAATGACATGGATGAGTGAAACCGAAAATCCAAAGTGGAAGGAAATAGAAATCTTTAGTCTCAGTAATATTTGGTAAAAAGAAAGGAGACTGTGGGATGAATAATTACTGCATCTCAAACACTGTAAAAACGTGGAGGAGGATTGTTAAGATATTAAACATAACAGAAAATGAAATGATTTTTATTTATTTATTTTTTTTATGAAATTGCTAGAGATCCAGAATTTAAGCCAAACTCAACAGATACTGTGTTCAATTCATGGGCTAAAAAAGGATTAGTCAGATTCTGGCAAATGTTTTCTAAAAATGAAATTGATTCCTTTGAAAATATCTCCAAACATTATGAAATACCTAAATATCAATTTTACAGATGTTTGCAAATAAGAAGTTATCTACACAGCAAATAATGGACATGCAAAATATTCACCCCGTTAAAATATATCGTGAAAAATCATAATGCTAGTTCCAAACATACTATGGGTAGAGTGTATGAAATCTTACATGTGGAAGATGACTCACACAATGTAAAGATAAAATGGGAAAAAGAGTTGGGAACACAAATAACTGATGAAGACTGGAAACAGATGTTTAATGAAATATATACCACAACCAGTTCCTTGTTCTGGAGAGAATTTGCTTGGAAAATAACTATGAGGTACTTCCTGATGCCTGGAATCATTTCCAAATATAAAAGATGTGCAAGCTCTCAGTGCTGGAGAAACTGTGGTGAAAGTAATGCAAATCATTTACATATATTCTATTCATGCAATCTATTGAACAACTTTTGGTTAGTTTGTTAGTTAGTAAGTTTTTAAGTTTATTGAAGATTTTCAACAAACCACTATATTTAAAAGCAGAGAACATCATACTTGAAAAACCTCTAGTAGGTCTTGGAAAAGACGAACAATACTTATTTAGAATACTCAGAATTTATACCCCCATACTAAACCCCCAGATTTGATCAAATGGAAAATTATGATTCAAGAAGTCAAATTTATGGAAGAAGGATCTCACAGAATAAGGAACATGGAAGACCTGTTTAAAAAGAGATGGACTTTAACTGAAGCAAAATTATAATCATCATCAACATACTAGAAATAAAGCCTGTCCTCTCTCTTTTTAAAAAATGGATCATTAAAGATCTGACCACCCCACTTGTGCTTAAATATGTAAATGAATTGGTTGATTTATTAATTTAAAAAGGGGATATTGACGAGATCCTAAGTTTAGCCATGTAAAAACCTACTAGTAAATGTTTGAGTTGCATACAAATTACGTATAATTTCTTATTTAAGGGAATACCTTTGTGGAAAGGAGCATACAAGTCAATATTAATATAAATGTTTAATTATATGCAGGTTTAAAAATTAAATGTATGTTCATATTTGTGTGACAATACCCACGAAATATTTAAATTAATCCAAAATGTGGAAACCTCAATTTGCATTGAACATAGGGGCTATATCCCTCTCCTTATTTTTGTCTGCTTGTTTTCTATTTCATTTTATTTATTTATTTTATATTTATTTTATTTTTTCTCTTTCTTATTTCATTGTTTCGATGTGTACGTATGTCTGTGTATTCATTTCTAAAGATGTTGCTGCTTCTTTTCTTGGGGGTAGTTTCTTTTTTTGATTCATTCAACATCTTATGCTGAAATGAAATAACGATATGAATGAAGCAACTCTTTAGAAAAAAAAACAAAAACAAAGTAAAAGTAAAAAAATAAATAAAAGGTCTAATGGCCTGGGTGGAAGAAGCTGATCCTCAGTCTACTGGTGTGTGTTTTGAGGGTTCAATATCTCTTTTTAACAACCACTGTGGTGTGGTTAACCCATGTTTTTACAATGCATGTATCAAAATGAAAGACCAAAAGCTGTACATTTTAATATTTGAATCTCATATTTATTGCAATCGAGGCAACAAAGCAGACAGTGTTGCAGTGTGCCACTGGAGGGCGCTAACACAAAGCACCAGGTGGTCTGGGACAACTTGAGAAAGGAGGAGGCCACTCACCAGCCTGTGTTAGCACATCAAGCTACTGTTAGCTAGCCGGCGGCTAAGGAGCAGGCTAAAACATCGGTTTGTCTTTATGTCGCCCGTGTTATCAAGTGATGGCAAGAGAACGGAGTTCACACACCGAAGCTGGTGAGTGCTGCGCGTCCCTGTGTCCCACTAACAAACACTTTGGACTTCACACACTTTGTTGTTGTGTGTCAGCTGCTGGGCTACCGACTGGCTAACATCACTTAGCACCGAGCTAATACAACGCGTTTTCTTTTTCAGAATTATATTACCTCATTGCCAGATTCCTGCAGTCTGGGCCCTGTAAAAGAGCAGCGCAGGTAACATCGTCTTATCGGCGAAATATTAACTCCAACTTGATTTATTTTTAAAGAAGCGAATGCTAGCGGTGAATGCTAACTGTGTGTGTGTGTGTGTGTGTGTGTGTGTGTGTGTGTGTGTGTGTGTGTTGTTAGATCCTGGTGGAGGAGCTGGAGCAGTATGAGGTAGGTTCAGCTGGACCTTTCTCTTTTTATTTTCCTCTGTGGTTTCCGTCATGCTTCCTATCTCGTCGATTTGAGGGCAGGTTTTTCATAAATTCTGGTTTGTGTTGGATAAAGCAGCGAGTTGTCGAGCCCTGTGCTAAACTAGCAGCTTGATGCTATCTCTAACAGATTATCTTTTAACTTTAGTTGGTCCCTCAACGATGGAGTTGGGATGGGAAGATTTACAAACGGACCTTTCAAGATTGGGTAAGTACAGAAAAATCATTATTAACTTTTTTTTTTTTTTTTATTAAATATTGCGCCTCGCATCTGTTTAAAAAAATAAAACGCATAAGCGGAGGTTTTAATATTTAATTTAATCAACTGTAAAGAACAAACTTGTTGATAGCACGTATAGGTTTATTTAACACATTTAACACATTTATACTAGTGTATGCCAGCCGATAAATCACTATGTAGAGGCTTTGTGTGGGCTTGTGGGAGGAGACTAGTCAAGGGCGCGCTGTGATTGGTTGAATCCGATGCAGCCAGCTGTCAGTCTTCTGTTGGGACCAGTTAAATTACTGGCTTTTAGCAAGCGACCCGGAAAAATAGTAGAAGACGTTTATGATTGGCTGTGAGTAGCGCTTGCCGTCCTGTTTCTCTTCCTTGTCTTCGTTGTTGTTTCAAAGGCTTTTAAATTTAGCAATGAATAGAAGCATAGTGTGAGAATTAAAAGATTAAAGTTAGAAGTTGACTTTCATTAAAATACACACCAGCATTTCAATCATATGTACGTTTGGTATGGATACAGACAGATGATAATTCTTGTTGTTTTAAATCGTATTTATAATTACTCATTTAAATTAGTATTTAATTTTAGAAAATAAACTAGTTTAGATGCGCCATAAGGTTAGCTTATTACTACATTTAGAAGAGCAGATGAAAACATTTAGTAATATTGTAATACCAACACTTTATTGGATTATTATTAATTGTCTTTGTGTGCCAATAAACTGTCTGGGGATTAACTATTTTTACAATTTCTAATAGAAATAATACAGCAGCCTTGAAAATCCAGTATAGCCCAATTTAAACACAACTATTTTTCAGAAAAGACAAAAAAAACAGCTATCTATAGAACAAAGCTGAATATGTTTAAATTTGTTAAACTCTTCTTTACTTATTTTGTTAAGGCAGTTTTACAGACTGTAACCTTGATGATTTCTCTTTGTAATTACATGCTCGTTATAAATTTGTTTTGCTACTTTGTAATAGCTGTTTGTGACTCTTGCAGGTGATTTAAACCAGCACATTCCTGCAGACTATTTGCTCCGTGTCTGCCAGCGGATTGGCCCACTTATAGAGAAGGAGATCCCACCTAGTGTTCCGGAGTCAAAACACTTTTGGGGCTAGGAAGACAGTCTTGCTTCGTACCACCAAAAGTGAGCACATCCCTCCGATCAAGCAGACCTCTGTTCATCATTTTCTCTGTTTTAATTTACTGCCTGTGTGTTTAAGGTTGTAGCCACAAAGTATGCAGCGGTTCGGCTGTTGCTGCACTCCATCGAGGACGTCCACCAGAACCCCCAGTCAGCAATGGGGAGGCTCCCAATGTTGGTGTGTATATTTATCTATTTTGTCTACCCTTAAAAAAAAAAAAAAAAAAAAAAACCTAGACCAGGTATCAGCAAATAATGAAATAAAGCTAATGATTGCTTCCACAAATCATGTGTCTTCATTTCAAGTGTCCATCATGGGAGCTCGCCAGGCCACAGGCACAGCTCGTTTCAGCCAGGCACTGCCTTCTTCCTCCTACCAACACATGAAGATACACAAACGTATCCTTGGACACCTTTCTTCAGTGTACTGTGTAGCCTTTGATCGCACTGGTCGTCGAATATTTACGGTACGTGATGATTAGTGCCAGATAATTGTGGCTGCAAATCTTTATGTTTATTACTTGATTAATGTCCATTTGACAAGTCAAATTTAACCAAAAGATTAAAAAAGAAGAAAGTGTATCCAGTATCCCTCCATCTTAAGGTTTGGAGATTATGAATAGTACATGCATTTGATCGGCAAAGGACAAAGTAGCAACAAATTACCACAAACAGACACACACAAAGACGTACAGAATAGTAGAAAAATGTAATATCTTGCACAAGGTACTTTAGGACAGGCCAACAGGATATACTGCTTTGCTACCTGTGAGCCTCAGTTCATTTATAGGACAGATTTAATAATGGATGTCTCTCTGTCTCTATGATCACCTGCATAGCATACGGGCACTAATCAATACGCTGAAGCAGAGTGGGTGTTGGCTAGTTCAGTTCGTCCACAAGTTTGGTGATCTTATGCAAATAAAAAAAGACGAAGCTAATAAATGTACTTAGTTAGCCTTAAATATAGCTGGGCAGTACATTCAGGTATAGTCTATGCTTGGAAACTACTACTACTACGAGAGTCTCAGAGGTCACCTTTTAGGTTGGAAGATCGATTATTCCGGATACATATGTAAAAATCACACCCCGGGATAGTAATCACAGAGAACAGGAGTAGTTCTGTATGCATTCAAGTGACATATTAATTTTAACTGTAGCTCAGAATCTATTGAAAAGAAACTTCAGGGGATTTTACTCATTTGCCCTATCCGGAAAGGCTCCTGATGTGTTTATCTTTCTCAGATAGATAATTCACCATTAAACTGGTTGATTTATTTGTTACCAATGTCTTGTGTCTTGTGAGTTGGGATTTCCTGAGGGTGGAAGTTTCTTCTCTATGATTGTGAGTGGGTGTTGGCTAGTTCAGTTCGTCCACAAGTTTGGTGATCTATGCAAATAAAAAAAGACGAAGCTAATAAATGTACTTAGTTAGCCTTAAATATAGCTGGCAGTACATTCAGTATAGTCTATGCTTGGAAACTACTACTACTACGAGAGTCTCAGAGGTCACCTTTTAGGTTGGAAGATCGATTATTCCGGATACATATGTAAAAATCACACCCCGGGATAGTAATCACAGAGAACAGGATGAAGTTCTGTATGCATTCAAGTGACATATTAATTTTAACTGTAGCTCAGAATCTATTGAAAAGAAACTTCAGGGGATTTTACTCATTTGCCCCTATCCGGAAAGGCTCCTGATGTGTTTATCTTTCTCAGATAGATAATTCACCATTAAACTGGTTGATTTATTTGTTACCAATGTCTTGTGTCTTGTGAGTTGGGATTTCCTGAGGGTGGAAGTTTCTTCTCTATGATTGTCAGTGGTTTGCGTTAGTGATTTAATTTTAATTTTGAATTGTAATGTTCCTTTTTTTTTCTGTCTCATGATGCTTTTGATGGCTTGCGTGAAGCACTTTGAATTGCCTTGTTGTTGAAATGTGCTGTAGAAATAAACTTGCCTTGCCTTGTGTGTTTTAGGGTTCTGATGACTGCCTGGTGAAAATCTGGGCAACAGATGACGGCCGGCTCCTTTCAACTCTCCGTGGCCACTCGGCAGAGATCTGTGACATGGCTGTCAATCACGAGAATACTCTCATTGCCTCAGCCAGCTGTGACAAAACCATCAGGGTGTGGTGCCTACGTACCTGTGCACCCATCACTGTCTTGCAGGCCCACGCTGCCTCCATCACATCGATACAGGTGAGGCTGATGCTTCTTAAAATCAATAAGTCAAACAAATATGGATGAGGGTGCTTATTTTCAGGACTTATCAAGGTAGCTGATGAGTGATCAGTGATTATAAATGTGTCTTTTTATTATAATTATAATTATAATTGTTTTTGTTTAATACGATTTACTCCTTGGCAAGTATCCAACACTGACTCTCTACCCCCTCAGTTTTGTCCGGCTATTAGAGGGACAACACGGTATCTGGCCTCCACCGGTGCAGACGGCATGGTGTGTTTCTGGAAGTGGCACTCGATCAGCACAACGTTCAAGTAAGTGATCGGGTCATATCTGTCTTTTTAAGTTCTGTAAAATTGCTCCTTTAAAATTGATAGGCATACACGTTTTTTTTTCTTTTTCGTTTTACTCCCATCTCTCAGTGATCAACCTGTCAAGTTTGTCGAGCGCTCACGACCAGGAGTACAGGTCTCCACTTCCTCCTTCAGCAGTGGTGAGTGTAGTTCCTCGCCTCCTATCATTTCCTTTATGAAAAAAAAAAAAAAAAGAACATTAGCACATTTCAAGATACATTTGGCAAAGATATCCAACGTATATTAAAAGTGACCGAACAAGAGGATGTGGCTGTATTGATATTGAAGTAGACTGAATGTATTCCTGTCACCTACATTTCTTCCGTTTATTGTTAATAGGTGGCATGTTCATGGCTACTGGCGGCACTGATCATTTGATCAGGGTCTACTACCTTGGAGCTGAAACTCCCATGAAGGTCTCTGAGATGGACGCTCACACGGTAAGAAACCTGTCGCGTTGCTGTTTCGGTCTGTTTTAGTCTAAGAACTTAATTTAACCAAAGTCTCTGTAACTGAAAATCATCTCCTTTGTCTTTGTCATCAGGATAAAGTAGTGGTCGTCCAGTTTAGCAATAACAGTGACAGGTGAGTGTGTTTCCTAGACTTCAAACTGTTATTACATTTTTTCTTTCGAGCCTCTGACAGTTAAATGTGTGTTTGTGTTCAGCTTGAGGTTTGTGAGTGGCAGTCGTGACGGCACAGCCAGAATTTGGCAATACCAGCAACAAGAGTGGAAGAGTGTCACTTTAGACATGGCTGCCAGACTTCCAGGTAAGTGAATAAACAGTGCGTATGATGCCCGCTTCTTTTATCTGTTAACTGCTCAGTGTTTCATTTCTGATGGAAGATATTTTCCTCCAGGACGGCTGCTACAAACGGAGATGATAAAACCAAGCTGGTGGTGACCATGGTGGCCTGGGACCGCACTGATAACACTGTCATCACAGCCGTGTCAAACTACCTGCTCAAAGTGTGGAGCTCAACCACAGGACAGCTGCTGCACATTTTATCAGTGAGTGGCTGCCCTTTTACTCTGCATAGTTTTTTTTCTTTTTGTCTAATGCCGTTTTTATTTTTTGTGAGACTAACGGCCCTGAATGTTTGCCGTCTCCTTCGTAAAGGGTCATGATGATGAAGTGTTCGTCATGGAAGCTCACCCCATTGACTCCCGCATCCTACTATCTGCTGGCCATGATGGCAACATTTACATCTGGGACCTGTCCAAAGGAGTCAAAATCCGAAACTTCTTCAACATGGTAATTCTCTAGAATCACAATCTTCCAACATTAATTAATTTATTTTTACGCTACCACAGTGTTCATGAGAAATTGTTTGTTTCCAGATTGAAGGCCAAGGCCACGGTGCTATTTTTGACTGCAAGTTCTCAGCGGATGGCCAGCATTTTGCCTGCACTGACTCACACGGCCATTTGCTCATCTTTGGATTTGGCTGCAGCAGGCCATATGAGAAGGTAAACACTCATAACAGTTTTGTTTTACAGTCTTGTACTGTTTTTGTCTTTTTACGGTTTAGCTTTTTCGGTACTGTTTCTTGTGTATTTGTGATTGGGTGTTATACATTTTAAATGTAAGCAGCGATATGTAGTTCTCTAAATCTCATTATTAACACAAATTGTTTCCAGATTCCTGACCAGATGTTCTTCCACACGGACTACCGACCTCTTATCCGTGACGCTAACAACTATGTGCTGGACGAGCAGACACAGCAAGCCCCACATCTCATGCCTCCACCATTCCTGGTGGATGTTGATGGGAATCCTCACCCTACACATTACCAGCGCCTGGTGCCGGGAAGAGAGAACTGCAAGGAAGACCAGCTGGTTCCCCAGCTGGGATACATGGCTAACAGTAAAACTTGCTCCCTTGTTGTTAAAAGTTCAGAACGCTCACACAGTTTGAACTGAGGAAACTGAGAGTCCTGCCTTTTTGTCATTTAGGTGATGGAGAGTTGGTTGAGCAGGTACTTGGCCAGCAAACGGCAGAAAACAGAGAAAGCCTGCTGGACAATCTCATCAGGCAGCTACAGAATGAACAGGACCAACTACAAAATGCAGAGCAACCAGCAGAAGAGGATGAAGGTATCTAACTGTGACTTTTAAGTGATGTACAGTGTGTGTTTTGTGTTTTCGTACCATTAACTATTGTCCATAAAACTCAGAGTTCCATTATAAAACTTTGAGGCAGTAGTATTGAGTGGAAACTAGATTTTTAATTGCTTAATGCTAATTGGCACACATTAAGTATTTCTTAAATAACATGTAGTCATTAAAAAGAAATCCTCCTATTTCAGCTCATGCCGATGATGCAGCAGAAGTGGAGCCCTCCTCTCCAACTGATGGACCACGCAGGACTGGCCCGGTTGACAGGGTGTGGCAGATGCAGCATAATGTGCTGCGAAGTCAAGTGGCCACTGAAAGGGACCTGCTGGCCTGGAGCCGCAGAGTGATGGTCAATGAATTACCGCAAGGGGTACACAGGTGAGGGGGCTGAAGAAAACTTCATCAAATGGAAGAAGACTTAAAGCTAGCATGAGGAGTTTTTAACTGAAACTGAATCAAATAATAATATTGCTGTCTCTTTGTGACACACAAAAGCAAAAAGAGACCGTCAGCCACAAGATTATTTCTATTTAATTATCTTTAATGCCAGAAATTGTTGCTGGGGGGGTCAGGAAACTGCCTTTTTTACATTTTCCAGTGCAAAGGTTCTTGATGAGTGATATATTTGACGGTTAAAAGACGACAGGATGAGATTTCTGTTTAAAAACAAAATTATACGATTTAGTGTATATATGTTATGATGCAAAATATCTTTTGTGCTTTTCAGAGTTTTGGAGGAGTGTAGACGAGCCAAAGGCGACATGGAATGTTCTCTATACAACACAGAAAGGCGCAAGAAACCTGCAGCATGCATACCTAAGGTCAGCTATCATTCTCTTTCACGTTGTTTTTTGTCCATTCTGGTCGATTCCTGCTCTTCTTATTTTCCAACCTCATACTGTTCTCTATAGAACGATCCGCTGACAACACGCCTTCGTTCACTGCGGCCATCCAAGAAAAAGCAGCAGCGCCACGCCTACCAGACCCGCTCCGCTCAAGTCCGTCGTCCTGGGACTAGGAGTCGAAATTCAAGCAACCGACGAAACTCTGACAGCCAGATAGAGTCTGATAGTGATGGAGATGTATGTTTCATCCCTCTATTTCTCATATATAAACATCACTAGAAACATTTTGTTGTGCATGTGTAGCCCACTTGAAACACAAGTGAAAATTATATTTTGAAGAGGTTTTTGAAGTATGTTAGCCTCACATCATACTAAAGGTGTTTGATGTGTCTTTGTTGACAGGGAGCAGCTCAGGGGGAGCACAGCGAGGCCTCTTCTGACGGGGAAACTCAATGGCAGACAGAAAGCAGCTCCAGGTGAATATCCTTTTTTAATGAACAATATTTTCAAGTTGTTTTTACCATCACCTGGCTAACAGCACCATTCTCCCCACTCACAGTGACTCCTCGAGTGAATATTCTGACTGGACAGCCGATGCTGGGATCAATCTCCAACCACCAAAGAGATCAAGCAGGAGGCCTGTGCAGCCCCAAGGTTACAGCAGCTCTGAGGAGGAGGAGGAGGAGGAGGAGGAGGGCGACAACAAGGCAAAAGATGCAAAGAAGAAGGAAAGGGAGAAAAAGAGCAAGCCCAAGGAGACTAAACAGGTGAGTCGACTACACCTGCATTCAGAGTGAGCATATGTTTTTGTGCTAAACATTAGTTGTCCTCTGCAGCGCTGCTCTCAATGTAGCTTGACCTCACAGAGTATGTATGGAAAATTCTGTATGTGAACATTTTATTCTTAACAATGTGCATTAACTTAGAAACCCACCTCGTCTCTGGCTGGACTGGATGCTGAGGAGTGGATGCCGCCATCGTGGGTAATGGAGACAATCCCTCATCGCTCTCCTTTCGTTCCACAAATGGGAGATGAGGTAGGGTGTGTTATTCGGATATTAAGCAGACAAATATGTTTCATAACATGCAGTTTCATCCTGGTTTTCCTGTCCTCCGCCAGCTTATCTACTTCAAACAGGGCCACCAGGCCTACGTCCGGGCAGTCCGCAGGGCCAAGGCGTACAGCATCAACCCTCAGAAACAGCCATGGAACAGACTCGACCTCAGGGTGAGGCACAGGGTTATTAAAAAGAATTGCATACTTCAATTCTCCCGACTGTTCCGAGAGTTTGCAAACAGCAGTCAGTTCACGTCACTCTCTGAAACCGGCTATCTCATTAGCATGCCCAATTCCAAAACGCGATACCCTCAGCGGATCCTTTCTTCCACAATCCTCGAAGTCCTTTTCTCACCACTGTTCACATCTGACTCATTTGAACCACAACTTCTTACAACATGTGACATTTCTCAAAAGCCTTTGAATTTAAATCAGACACAAATCCTTCAGGGTTCATTTAGGATCAGTATTTGCACATTGTTAAAATTAGCATGTTCGCACCAATGTGTCATAAGTACAGCCTCATAGAGATGCTAGCATGGCTGTGGGCCGGTCAAGTGCTATATCAACGAGACATTGTGACTTTTGACATGGCATGGTGGATGGCATAACATCTACTGCTGCTTCAGGCATTTCCAAAACAGCTCTCGTCTTAGACCATTCTTCTGAAACAATCTTTGCAGAATGGTCTAAGAATGGAAAGAACACAAACAAATGGCATTGCAGTTAATAAAATCAAAAATCTTTGGGAGCACAGCACCAAGACTCCTGAATCTGAAATCAACACTAATTACATCTTACCAGACTGGTGTCAAACGATCCACAAACACGGTTTCTATTGAACATGTTCACGATCAACCGCTGTGTGCTGCTGAGGCCTGAACTTGTTTTCTTTTACAGATGTTCTATATACTGTCTTGTGTCTTGAGTCTTACCTTTTTTTCCTGCCTCTTCAGGACCAGGAATCTGTGAAAGTGGTGGGAATCAAATATGAAGTGGGACCTCCCACCCTCTGCTGCCTAAAACTGGCTTTCTTAGACCCAGTCTCAGGGAAGATGACCAATGACTCTTTCTCCTTAAAGTGAGCATTTAGAAAACACTATACATACATAGTCCTAGATTATTAATTATCAAAATCCAAGCTCACGTATGCGTTATATTTCTTTTTCATTCCCACTCTCTGTAGGTACCATGACATGCCTGATGTCATAGATTTTCTGGTACTTCAGCAGTTTTACAATGAGGCTAAAGAGCACAACTGGCAGTCAGGTTAGTCTTGGTGAAATGATGTGTTTACCACTCATATTCATTGTGTGGGTGGGTCCTTCTCTTATGTTTGATCCTGCCTTCACCTCACAGGTATGAGGTTCCGCAGCATCATCGATGACGCCTGGTGGTTCGGCTCTGTGGAGGACCAAGAGCCTTTGCAGCCTGAATATCCAGACAGCCTTTTTCAGTGCTATGCAGTAAAGTATGTCTGTGACAAGATGTGTAAACAATCAATATCATATTCTTCTTTGCTTGTCTGATGTACCATTTTATGTTCAGTCGAATACTCTCTTTAACTGCCCTTTGTTTTCGTCCTCTTCCATCAGGTGGGATAATGGTGAGCGGGAGAAAATGAGTCCCTGGGACATGGAGCCCATTCCTGACGAAGGTAAGTATTTATGAGAACCTTAACCTGTTTGTACACCTGTGCAGTTATGTTGTTATTGTGATGGTTTTATAACAGAAAAAATGTGAATAGATCCAATAAATGTAAGATCACCATTGCAACCAAGAAAAAACTGCAGGTGATTACACAAAGAATATAACCTTTGCTGTTCAATAAAAAAAAAATATAGAAACTGTATTAAATTTCATTTCAAAAGCTGAAGCTTAGTCTTTCAACCCATAACTTCAAACTTCGTATCTGTGGCCTCATTACAACATCACCAGGAGGTGAACAAGAGAAGTTGTCCATAATCACATTGTGTTTTAGGAATCTGTTTCATTGAAATGATTCAAAATATTATCGTAAACATTTCTCAGTATAGAGCAATCAAAAATCTGTGAAAGGAAATATACAACATGATTATTTCTTATACAATAAGAATTATGTTTCAGCAAAAGAAATGTGAAAAAATAGGAAATCACCACATCTTGGAGATCAATATTTTTCCAAACTTATTTTCCATAAGGGTTTATTTGCTTGGAAACATTTGGTTTTCATAAATTCAAGGTTTCGCTGTATTCTTAGTGTTGTTATCCCTGTTTCAACGTTCAGATTTCTGTATTTAAATGTTGTCAACAATTGTGAAACAGTGGTCAAAGAAGAACATCTTCACTCCTTTACCAACTGAGGAATTCAGATGGAACCTTATGAACTTTGTTGTCAAATTGATTGTTTGTCTTTAGAATTGTAGTAAGCTGGTGAATATCTTCTCTCCATAAAGAGGCTCAAGTTCTCCCAGACAAAGGAGCTCATTATTATTTTTTATATCCAAATCAGACTGTTCAAAAGGACACCCACTTAGATATTATTGAACAGCTCACATTAGGAATCTTTTCATTTTAACAAAAGACTTGTTCGTACCCTAACATTTGAAACCACTTGCTGCTTCTTTTCAAGTGCTCTGATTTCCTTTGTGATGTCTCTGAACCACCAAGTAGTCCATTCATATTGAAATGTAGTTGGCTGTCCATTAAAGTTCACTTGGCAGGCATTTAACCCCGTGCTGGTTCATTCTGGTGATACGTTTCAGCTGCAGAATGGAGAAAATGAAAAACTATCTTTTCATCAAGCAATGCTTTTATTACTTCTAATCTCTTTGAAAAGTGAACTTGTTTTTTTCCTTACTTTTCTTACTTACTTATTAGGTATCTTACTTTCAGATACCTATATTATATATTGAAAAATGGAAGAATATAAGTTTTCCATCAGGATAGTAAAGATGATTAATATAGGTGCACATTGTAACTTAGCTTTTTCTCTTATTTGAGTAATTACATTTATTTAATGAGCGAATACATTTTTTCTTTCAGCTTCATTACCAGAGCAGGTCGGCGATGGTGTGGAGGTGGCAGAGGACGAGTTAAAGGCTCTGCTTTACGAGCCTCAGGAGGGCGAGTGGGGGGCTCACACACGAGATGAAGAATGTGAAAGAGTCATCCAAGGAATCGACCTGCTTCTTACACTGGGTACGCCACCAAAGTTTCATTCCAGTGTGGTTGTTGCAGGCAGAGTCAGGTCATGCTTGATGTTGTTTTTTTTATTTTTCTGCAGACGTTGCCAAGCTTTTTGCATATCCTGTAAATCTCCGGGACTACCCTCTGTACTGCACTGTGGTGTCTTACCCCACTGACCTCAGCACCATCCGCACACGGCTGGAGAATCGCTTCTACAGGTGAAGCAGCCGATGTAGCCTCACACACACAGTCAAATTATCTTTCACATAAATTCCAAAAGTGTTGACATTTCAGCTTCTCTCGTGTCTAGGCGGATCTCGGCTTTAATGTGGGAGGTGCGCTACATTGAACACAACGCCCGCACTTTCAATGAGCCCCAGAGCCCCATTGTAGCAACCGCCAAGGTGGTGACGGACGTTCTCCTTCACTACATCAGGTGAGACTCCAGAGAGTTCATGTTCTAGTATCTTCCCTGATACTGCAAAATCTGTTTTAAGGTTATTGATACTCCTGCCTGCACACACCAGTATTTAATTTAACCCTTTGTTTCCGGCAGTGACCAGAGCTGCACAGATATCCTGGATCTGTATCACAGACTCAAGTCTGAGGTCAGCAGTGGAGAAGAAGCTGAGGTGAGAAATTGTGGTTAAGACTTTGTTTTTCCTTCTTTTGTAAGTGTTCTGTGATAATATATTTAATAATACATTTTATTTAAAGGCGCCTTTCAAATCATCGAGCTCCCCCTACAGAGCAGAGATTAAAAAAAAAAAAAAAGATATCACTTTCTTGTATGTGTTCCTCTACAGGCTGACTTGGATGTGGACTCTGACACTCCAGGAACGTCTTCAGGACATCAGGTAAGAGAGAGTCAAGTGACCGCAACAAACCGTATTCTAATAATATTGACTAACATCACTCCCTCTCGTGTGATATTGCTTATGTAACAGACATATTAATTGTTCTTTCCCTTCCAGGGATCAAATTCAAAGAAGCGTGGCTTGTCATTGGATGTGAAAGCTTGGCGAGGTCAATGTAAAGAGCTGATGCGTCGAATGATTGCCTCGCCAGATTCAGAACCGTTCAGACAGCCCGTGGATCTCTTTGAGTATCGGGTAAAACAATCTGCAGCAACCGTAACATGCAGTAATAATGCAACTGAAGACATTTGAATGAATTAACATTTACAACAATCCAAATCTTTGTACAGTAACGTTCCTGCTCTCATATTTGTTCAGGATTATCGAGACATCATAGACACTCCCATGGACCTGAGAACCGTGTCAGAGACGCTGCTGGGAGGAAATTATGAAAACCCAATGGAGTTCGCCAAAGACGTGCGTCTCATTTTCAGCAACTCCAAAGCGTACACACCCAACAAGAAATCACAGGTGAAGAAAACCTCCCTGAAATTCAATAAGTAGATATTGGGAGAAGTCCATCAAAGTGATATCCTGGTATTTTACTCTCTGACACTCTTACTTATGTCTAGATCTACACCATGACCCTCAGTTTGTCGGCCTTCTTTGAAAAAAATATCATCTCCATCATCTCTGATCACAAATCAGCCATTCAGAATGAGCGCCGGGCTCATCAGAGGCTCAGTTACAGGAACAGATTGCACAATGGAGGCAGCTCACCGCCCATCAGTCCATCCCCCAGGTACATCTCAGAAGACACAGTGTACACAGGGTGTCTGCATCTTCTGAAAACATCTAGATTTGTTTTTCAACTTTACATTTGACTTACAGAGATTACAGTCTTGTTTCTTCCTTAGATCTAATGTCTCCCTCAACCCCTGCTCCTATAAAGTGTTTGAAAGCCTTAAATAAAAATCGCATTCTATGCGATTCTATGTAAAGAAGCTTATTATTCTTACATGTTGCTTTTTTTTCTCTGTCTCTCTCTCTATGTCTAGCCCTAAAGGAAAGCACAAGTTGGGGAAGGTGTCAAAGCCAAACAAATCCCAGACCTCAACCAAGAGTCGTTCTCGGAGGCCATATCAGGGTACGACTGCACAACTCTGTCTTTTTTTTTTTCCTGTGCCCTATATGACGCTGGTGTAAATGATTGTTAAGGTTAGGAGAGTGGGAAAATGTCTTCTTAAATTCTATTGAGATTAGTCATTTTCCACCTTACATTTCCTTTTGAATAACCGTCTCCAAGTCTTACCAAGATTGGTTAGAGTTTAGAAAGGTTCAACATTTATTGCCGGACACCTCTGCAGATTTTAAACCTATTTAAATTCAGCATGTTGTAGCAAGACATTATACGTGTAAGTCAAAGATATATATATATATATATATTTTTTTACAATTCTCTAGTTTTGTCATGACTGAATATAGAATGTAATGCATTGCACTGCTGCTGTAGATGCTGAAAAGTCATACTCTTAGACTCGTATTTAATAATTGCTGTGTGTTGTTGCTTCAGTTCAGCAAAGCGACAGTGTAGCAGAGGAGGAAGACGTCCAGCCTTCTTCCCCGAGTTCAGGGACAAGCAGCAAGAGCAGAGACCAGGAGTCCTCGCGGGTGACCCGCAGCCGCACAACTCCAGTGAAGAAGTCAGGTATGAAAACATCCCAAGTTTAATCATAATATATAACATGTTTCATTTTATTGTTTCTTCAGAATACAGAATTAAAGTTTTGTCGTTCTATATTGCATCAGGGCACCGGCGTAACTTAAATCTGAGTAACGGCTCCAGACAACGCCCCAAGCAGGCATCGTCGCAGTCTGAAGACGAGGAGGAGGAGGAGGCGGCGGCGGCGTCTCGATCCAATAGCTCCTCGTCTGAGTCATCCTCCACCTCATCTTCGTCGTCTTCTTCGTCGTCATCAGACAGCGAGAACAGCTCTGACACTGAGATGGAGAAGTATGTGGATGGGGGAGACCACGACTACAGCAAAGCCCCCTGCCTCTCGGCAAAGGGGAAGGAGGCGGCCTCAGGGAAAAGAAAACACAAAGGACAAGAGGAGAGGCACAGAGACCCAAAAGAGCCAGGGTTCAGGCGCCTGTAGAGGAGGAGGAGGAGGAGGAGGAGGAAGAAGAAGATGATGATGATAATAATAATAATGATGAGGATGAAGAGGAGGAGGAAGAAGAAGAAGAGGAGGAGGAAGAGCAGCCACAAATGCAACAGCAAAAGGGGAATGTGAGACAAGAGGAGGATGAGGGAGAGGAGGAGGATGAAGAAGAGGAAGAGGAGGAACCGGAGGAGGAGGAACCGGAGGAGGAGGAACCGGAGGAGGAGGAACCTGAGGAGGAGGAAGAGGAGGAGGAAAACTCAGATGAAGCGCACGGAGGAGCCACAGCAATGAAGAAACAACCAGAGAGAGGCAGCCAGTGCAAGTCTCAGCGGGTGAACACACGAAACCAGGGCCGTAGGACAGTTTTGTACAGGGACGACTCGGAGGATGACGCCCATGGGTCAAAAGACGACCCTCTCAACCTGGGCAGGTCCCGCTCTGGGCGGGTACGGCGCATGACAGAGAAAGCCCGCGTCAGCCACCTCATGGGCTGGAGTCACTGACACATCGCCCCCTCTCAAACCTCAATAAAAAAGAAAACTGTCAAACGTGAGCAAAACTTCAGGGATTTTTCTTCTTTCTTTTTGTACAAGTGTATATATAATATATCTATATATATGATGTTTCTTTTTATCTGAGACTGCTTATGACTCAAACTCATCGCTGGTGCTTGTGACACGTTGCCATGGAGTTTCCTCTCTTGGTAGACGGCGCTACTGTTCAACACAGACCCTCACCCCCAACTGGACTAAGTCACCTCGGCCTTACTGCTCGCTGGCGGAGCCTCCAAAACATGGCACTGCTCTTCTTCCACTTGTCCTCCTCCTGTACTAAACACTATACTCCTCCTACGTCGCCTCTTAATCCTGGTCACCAAAGAAGGATGCAGAGATGCCAAAAACGGTGCTCATGTTTTTATTCGTCTGGGTTTTTTTTTTTTTTTTTTCTGTGAAATAACTTAACTTAAACCCATCAAGCTAGTGGTCTCTACTTCGAAACTGATGTCAACCGTCTTGGTACTCGGTCTTTTCTCACAACCGGAAGCCTTAGTTTTCAGAGTTTCAGTCAGATTTAGTTCAAGCGTGATTTGGGCATGATTTATACAGAGGAATCAGTAGTTTTAGTACGAGAGAATTCAATCTAGAGCCCGACCGACATGTCTTTTGGCAATATGATTTAGCCAGTATAGTGATGAAGACATACATTTTTGTCTTGATACATGCATCATATAGAGAGCAGATCATTCTTCATCACTAACATCTCTCTGCACTGTCTGCAGCCCAAGTAGCAGAGCATCACACCCGGGCACCAAGTGTGTAATGACGTAAAATATTCTTTAATTAAATTGTTCAGGAAAGCAACGTGAACAGTATCTACTTGTTCATTATCTGTATTGGTCTCAAAGATACTGAGTCGGTCTGGCTCTAGTAATATCCCACTTCCTTTTTGGTGTAGTTGATTTGCCTTTTCTCTTGAATTCCTACCTTTTTATTGGTGATTTTTTTTAAATATTCTTGGGTAAAAAAGCCACTGCTTCCTGTCCTGTTGTACATCCTGATCTGCATCTGTTTTCAAATTGCTTTCATCACACCTTCTCCAACACCCAGCACATGAAAAAGCAAGGGTGTCTCTGGGCTACTCTCTTGTGCAGAAATATTTATTTTACATTGTGTTATTCTTGGTTTACGTTCTTTTTTTCTTTTCTTTTCTTTTTTTAACAACAATAGTGATGAGGAAAAGGATATATTTGCACATTGATCTACTCCACGTGGCAGCTGAGTAATAACGATTTTTGGAGAAAGAGAAACAAGATGAAACCTCATGATATTTTAAAGAATTTTGAACATCATTAGAAAGCATTAATCCTGTCTTTTTTTTTTTCTAAGTTATAACAGAACATGCTTATAACATTTTTTCAGCCTGAGGGATCAGCTGATGTACCATTTTTAATCTTCTTGTCTTTTGGCCTAAAGCAACCATACAGCAGCTCTTTGCTCAGCAATTCAATAACGTGCCACTTTTTGTCCTCTTGTTTCTGACCAACTGAAGACACATTTGACCTGATAAACTACAATCAGGTATTTATTTGCTCTCAAAATCACTGTGTTTAATAATGATTGATTCATGGGTCAATTGGTTTGGTCTTTTGGAAGTTCTGCAATATGGATGCATCTTTTTTTTTTGGTTGCACTGGTAATATTTACTTTTGAGCAGTCTCTGAATCATCAGAGGAACACTTCCATTTTAATGCTGGGTGCTGAAATCTGAACAACCTTGTCAGTCAGCCTCCATGTGGTCACTGGTATAAGAGGGGCTTCAGAGGTTATTCTTTGTCTTTTTATTTGGGGGGGGGATGATTTTTTTTTTTTTTTTGTCAGGTTCTCAGAGATAAATTACACAAATCAGCATATAGGGTGCTCCATTCTGCAGCATTAACTGGCTTCTTGAAGTATTTCTGGTTGAGTGTGAGTAGACTTAAAATTCATATTTTGGGATCTTACTTTCTTACAGTAGATGGCTCTTGTCAGGACGCATCAGTTTAGATGATGAGTACAACAATAACATTCTGCTGTAGGTGGAATGAGTTTATGTGACTGTCTTTTATACACAAAGTTTGATTGTATGTGTTTTCCTTTTTTTTTTTTAATAAAAAAAGTTAGACTTGTCAAAGGTTGTTTGAGATATTTGTAATCCAATGATTTCTGTCTGTGTTACTTCACCTAAAGCTTTAACAGCTATTCAGCAGCAACTGAGTCATCTGCAGTTTTTATGAACGCAGTCATAAACCTGCATTGAAGGCAAAGATTCAATAGTTACTGGATATTAGGACAGGCCTATCGACCGTGATAACGCGACGTAAACCACGACTGTGCTATCTCCCTCTGCTAAACTGCATTAATGCACTGAAAGCTTGGGTGAGTCAGACGAGGGACAAACAAGGTTTAGTTGTGACGCACCATGCTCTGCCACACCTAGAAACTGCAGAGATGCTGAAGGATCATGGGAATTAAATCTGATCGTTACATAAATAGGTAAAAAGGGACAATGTTAAGCAAGCAAAGGAAAGAGTGACAACAGCCACTTATCACACCAAAAAACGACTTCATTATGAATACTTCATTAGTGATCACTGGAAATCACAACTTTCAAATCAGAAAAAAAGAAAACCAGAAGATATTCTATTTTGGGAACATTGTTTCAAGATCGCATGTCTTTGCCTTCTCAGTCTTCTCATGTTCAGTCTCTTTTTGTCAAGCTGAGCCTTATTTAGTTTATGGGCGATAACTCTTGGGCAAGCCAGTCCAGTGCATAAAAATACAAATAGTGATCACGGAGGTTGATACAACTGTATTTACAGTTGTGTAGATAAAGCCGACTCCAGACAAAGAGTTGTGTTTTATTTTATTACACAATAACACAACATTCTAAGCAACTACATTTCAGACCAGGAATACTTGAAATTCTCAACTGGTCAAACAGCTCGTCAATGATACACAACACAGTTGAAGTCTCAACAAGGATACGTTACATAACAGAAACTACTTCACACAGTATTTCAGATCTCTTCAATATTCACAAGCACATCATAAACACATTGTTTACTCAACAACAACAAAGTGCAAGTACATTGTGCTTCAGTCTCAGATTTAGTGTGAACAGCCCACATTTCCCAACCTGTGCTTAAATTGTCTTCTTTTTTAGTGTAGCTATACATACACAGGGACTAACACACACAGGGACAGAGTGCAATAACTGCTGGCCGCATCACATACTAAAAAGGTGCACCAACATTTCTGCTTTAAAGTAGCAGGCAAAACCCAGACAGAACTAACACTCATACATCCAGCACAACAAACAACTTAATACATACAGAAATATATTCAGCCAATTGAACAAAAAAACATGCTCTCTGCACTTTTTTTAGGTGTGGAAAACTTTCTTATAAGTAGAATAATTATACCTTTACATTAAAGGAGCAATACAAAAGAGAAAACTTAAGAGTGGACATGAAGTAGGAGTACTGAACTGATCAAATGCAGGTTGGATATGGGGAGATATGGTCAGATTGTTACCATTAAAAAAAAAAAAACTTAAAAAAAAACTTAAAAGCATGACAAGACAATTTCTGAAATTAAAATCTGTAACTAATGTGGATCAACCTTATTTTTTTTTATATTCTAAGGGACTGTGGAAAAATTATAAGCAGTAGTATAAGTTGAGAAAAACAGGGAGGTTGGTTTATTCATGTCATTGCCATGCATCTTAGTTTAAGTGCGTGTTTTTCAAAGGTAAATAAAAAGCAACCTGTTTTGAAAACATTAAAGGCCCTTGGGTTCCCAAAATAAAAAACATATTCTTTACAAAGTTTTGTCTTTACTCAAGAGATTTCTGTATTTCAGCTCTGGTCATTTACTTCTTGTTGGTAGTTTGCAGTTGTTGGTAGTCAAACCTGGTCAAGCCACACACATACAGTCCATGTCGAGGATAATTTTTGTCATTCAACATTATTTTGTTTGTCAAAAAGTAAACGTTCAAAGAAATAGCTTGTGTTTCTTTTCAGGGGATATAATTACCCAAGCGAGGGGTTTCTTCCATTTTTACATTGAGAAATAAACATTCAGCCCCTCTCTTCTTCCAAATCATTTTTGGACAGTCCCTTATGGAACAAAGCTTGAATCACTTGTTTGTACCTTACATATTATGTGTTTACAATAATACAAACACAGACCTTACAATAACATGGAAGTACCACAGTAGATTTCGTCGGCTATATACCCTCACTCACAGGTGTCCTATTTCTATACAGTGAATACACAGGTATTGTCACGTGCTAAAATTTACTCCACAGAGACTGATGATTCACAAAACAGCTATATGGGGTTATAACCCCTCAGAAACATTAAGGACTTATCACTATTCAAACCTCGAGATCAAGATATTTGCAACAGCTGTTTCATTACAGTGAATAATTATCACACTAAAACATCTCCTCAGCAGGGGAGGGTGAGCTCTGCCAAACTTGAGCTGAAACAACCTTACAACAAAGTCAGTCCACTTCAATGAAAACCTCTCTACGAGCTCTTTGAAAAGCAAGCTCTTAGTGTTGTCTTTTCCTTTCAGTATCCTTCTTGAAAGCGTGACATACTCTGCCTCCAGACCCCTTTCAGTTCTGAACTCTCATGGTCTTTCATGTCATAAGCAGGAGGGATTTCAAAGCTTTAAACAACACTGCTCCTGTGGTAGCCTGTTGTTGCTAAAACTTCCATTTGTGCCTGAGCTTGCAGAGCACCATGCTGAAAGCTGCCTACATGGGCACGTCACATTTGCTACACCAGGCCAGTCTGCATGTGGACATGTAAAGGAGGGTAGGGGTGGTAGACGAGCGGGGGCTGGGCCTGGGTGATGAAGTAGCTGCTGTAAATCGGCTCTGTCACATACGGAGCAGGCTGGTAAAAACAGGTGACATTGGCCGTGTTAGGGATGGCGTTCTGCTCACCCAACACCCTCAGAGCAAGAACTGTGATCATGTTGAGCGTCTGCCTCCTCTCATGTCCCATCAAACACACTGTGCTCTCATCTATCACGCGCCTCAGGGTCATCAAGTAGTCGTACTTACTTGCCTCCTCGTTGCCAATGAAATGGCACTGCAGGTAAGCCTCGATCTTCCGTTGCTGCTCGTTCACATCAGGAAAGTCGATGAAGAAACGGGAGCACATGTATCGCTCCAAGGACTTGATCTCTGTTTCGCTGGCTGGTCTGAAGTTCCTCACCAGCAAGTCGCTGTATTTCAGCAAGCCCCCTCCCCGGATCTCCTCTGGACTGTGGGTGGCAATGAGGCGGTGGTGAAGGTGGTCCAAGGCCTGTTGGAAGTCTCCATACATGCACTCTGCTTCCACAGTGATGGTCAAATCCTCTGTTGGCCTTGCCCTTGAGTTTTCCCCACAGCTTTTCTGGACATTGTCTATTACCTGTGAGGGCATGTATGTTGTACATGTGTGGCTTTGATTGTCCAAATCAGGTGGCTTCTTCCAGTGCTTTGGCTTCACAGTTTGTTCTATATTTTCATTCGAGCCTGTTCCATCAGGAGATGTTCTAGCTAAACTGTACTTTGGAACCCTAAGGATCTCAGGGGTCTCTGACTTGGTATCTGAAATGCTTGAGCTAAGGGCTTCTTGAGTGCTGTCCTGTACCGGAGGCATCGGCTGAAGTGTTTTAGGGATTTCTATGGGGGGGAAAAGCTGTGTCGTAAGATCTGACAAATCATTCAGTAAAGACCATTTTTCAGGCTTCGTGATCATCTTCCGAGACATTTTTCTTTGTAGTTTTGGGGAAGGACAATGGTCTGGTATAATGTCCTGGGATGTGCTGCAAGTTTTCTTAGCTGGAGGAGGAAAGGAGCATTCAAGATTTGAATCGTGTACATCTGAGCTACTTACAGTCCTACAGATTATAGAGTCTTCTTTGAACTGAGTGATGTCTTCACCAAGGACTTTATCTTTTGGAGATGACTCTTCCAAACATGTCGTAGATGCTGGAGGGGAAACGTTTGACACAGGAAGCTCTTTGTTACTCTGCATCTTAAAACAGTCATGTGTTATCGATGGATCATTGACATCTGCAAATAAAGCTTTAGGGGAAGATACCTGTTGAAACTGTCCTTTCTCTTCTCTACTTTCGTCACATAACTCAAACACAATGTCCTCCTCTGAATGAACATAATCTATGCCATCCACCTCCTTGTTCTCCTGCTGTAAGTTAATGTTCTTAGTTTTTAATGCCTCCTGTGCCTCGTGCTCTTCATCCCCATGCTCAACCTCACCTGGAAGCTCTTTGTCAAGCATGGAAACTGCTTCATTGGTAGAACGATTTTCTTCACCAGTTGCCATTGCTGAGTCTTTTAGGTGATCTGAATCCAGAGGATTGCTGGCTTGCTCTTGCTCCGTCTTCTTATCCCCACTGTCTCTTTTAGATGAATTTCCGATATTCAATGCCGGTTTTCCACCCTGTCTCCTTTCAGTATCCCAGTAGGACTCCAGCATTCGATCTAATATTATCTGGAAGGAATCCACACTGAACTCAAACTGCCTCCGAAGGGAACTGACAAACCTGAGTCCCACGGTTTTAGACCTGTTGTTAGATAGCGAGATCAGGCTCCATCTGTCATGCTCATTGAAGACTTTTACCATCTTTTGGACGTAGGCTTCCTTCATTGTCAGAGAGGTGATCTTCCGTCTGTTTACTCCACAAGGGAGGAGATCTCGTAGACTCCCCAGAACTACCTCTTTAATCACCTGGAGGTCCTCCTGCCTTGGCAGCTCCACTCCAAAAATTATGTCTAAGTCTCTGTAGCCTAGGCCGTTATCCCTCACCAGGACATGGCTGGCAGTTGCGCCATTGAGTCGAATATCTTTGACCTGGATGTCTCTTTCGATCAGACGATCCTTTACCACACGGATGATGTCTTTGGCTCTCACCTGGAGTGTCGGAAAGTTTCCTCTTCCATAGATGGGGATAACTTCAGTCAGGACCTTGTCCAGAGCTTGGACTTGCTCGAGGGTCAAGTTGTGGAACCTCTTCTCCTTTTGAAGCTCTGTCATACTTGCCTGTGAAAGAGAAGTCTGACGTTTGTATCATATTTTCGCTTATGATTAAGGAATAATGGTCAATGAAAGCAGTACAAGAAGCAAAATATTTCTTGACCAAACATAATCTACCAGCATTGTCATTTTGGCATCCATGCAAAAGATCTGTGTCAAATAACATGTAACACTGTGTCTACATTATTTCACTCATTTGTTTGCTTGAGGTTTATTCTTTTGTGAAATATTTAGCATTTACTCTTTTCCTCTCTTCCTAACCCTATCAAATGCAGAAGTGCAGTTGAACTCCTTGTGATTCGTTTTGAGTTGAGATATTAAATGCACTTACTGCTCTGATGTTCTGCCACATTTAGCATGACATGATTAAGCTCAGAGGACTGAGGGAAGTCTCAGTGATTAACCTGTATGCTGCTGGGCTACCACTAGATGGCAACAGTCAGCATCACAGCAAGGCAAAGTGATCTGAATGGCAAGGAAGATGCTTGAACATACAGTAAGCTGCTTGTATTGTGCTGTGAGTTCTTCACAATTATTTGCTCTCACAATCATGGCAAAAAAAAACAACAACATGGCTGTCACCATAACAGATATATGCTTTCAACTAAACCAATACAAACAAATCATTACAAGATGTAAGTGGTGCCTACTTTGCAACCGCTCCCAAAATGCACTATAAGTTCTTTTTGTCTTCTGAGCTGTACCAGTTGCAATATAGACATCACAGATGGCTTCTCATGTTTTTCTAGTATCTGTGAGATGAATATTTAATAATTGTCATGTTGAAATTACATGATAAAGTCGGCTACTTCTTTGCAAGTTGGTGAGTCACTTGTCTGTTATTCACTGACTGTCGGCTGCACAACTCAGTTTGAAAGATCTAGAGACAGGCTAAACCTGTCTGTATGTGTAAGCTCTCTCCGTCTGATGCAAGTGTGACTAATCCAAGCTTTTCAGACCCACAAATATAAATGATTCTGTGATTTTTCACATCTGCAGAATATTAATAAAACAGGGGACAAGTTGCTTATTCTAGCAGATATATCAAAAATGTAGGCAGGAAGGTGCATCATCATTAATGTATGCTGACTCATACTGTCACAGATTGAGCCTGTTGCCAGCAGGCTTTACCTTCATATACTGTCAGATACATTTATGACAACATTAGGGTTTAGGGATCCATTAAGGGTCCTCAAGGTGTTTTGAGAAGTAAATGCTTGAATAATGAATGCCAATTAGTGTAATAAAAGACACTACCTTGTAATTAAATATAGGTTACTTTTAATTATATAGATGTTTGTGCATTCAAGATTTAGTCAGCATAAAACAATAATGTGTATTGATGTGTGCAGTAAGCTATGTGTTGAATTAAATGTAAAAGTTCAAGGTAAGACATCAAAGCACTTTTAGGTCTAAAGATCCAGGTACAGATAGTCATACTTGCACATTACACTAGAGGTTAATGGTTCAATAACTATTGTTTTTGCTGTTTGTATAGGGCCTAACTTTCATAAATAGCCTACAAATTGGTTTCAAACTGGACTGTTCATGTGATGATAGGCTAGCTATGGGCTATCTGCTGGGTTCAAAACAAACATACATCCTCAGCCTGTGTTTATACTTGGACTTGATCAGTGTAAATACAGTCAGAGGCAACATTACTCAGGGCACAGTGAAGCATGGCCCACAGCAGCCTCTAGTGAATGTCAGCGGATACATCAGCTGGGTCCTGCAGCAGGACTGCTCTCCTGCCACTTGGCTTCTTTATAGATAAGACTATATGAGTCATACAGCCCCTGAATGAAGCATCACTCGTTGCCTCTTCTGGATGCATTCCCTGACGACACAAATGCACCACCTATAATGTTTTTTTTTTCATCAATCAGCCTGGCAAACAGATTAAAAAAAAACAAATTATATTGCTTGAGATCGGAGTGATCTGGAGACATTATAGATAACGTATTAGTGGATATTTTTATGAACTCCCATGGCCAACAACATTGTGCACTTGCCACTTTTGTTCCTTGTTCTTATGTCATGCCATCCTCTAAATTAAAAAATGTAGCCTTTCATTTTTTTCAAGTAACTAAATCCCAATTCATTTTCTGTGCTACATGTATACACTTGCAAGACAATATTCAAGTCAGAAGTTGACTGAGAAGTGAAATATTTTGTTGTAAACTTGGAAAAATGATTGGGGGGGGGGGGGGGGTGGGTACAAACAAGGGTGAGACACAATCATAAAACGAAAACATAATTTTAAAAACTCACCTTGTTTGTAGCAAACTTAAACTGGGGATAAATCCGAAACAGCAAAACAAGAAAAGACAATAACAGATATCCAACAGGTTAAATTTGTTTCCCGACCCCGTTAGAGACGTTGATGATGAAGTTAGCACGGACTGTTTCCTCTCAGCGCACGAGCACTGTTTCCATGGTAATGAGGCGTCACGAAATTCACCGTAGCCCTAAATCACGACTCTTCGTTCGTCACTAATTACAAATTGACAAACACTTAAGTTTGAAACAAACACCGCATCTTAGCGCCACCGAAATGCATCTTCACAGTTTGATAAAGTTTGACATTTATTTTAGGAGCACAACGAGGTTGTCAGGCTGAAGTACCGGCGTGCCACCGCACTGCCGAGCTGTTGCGGGGTGAACATCACATCAGACGGTGTGAGTCATCCCCTCTCCCCGCCGTGATCCACACCGTAAATCTAATCATCAATCACCCGCCTTCGCCGCCCACTAATCTGCTGGTGTAACGCCTCCTCCACTTTTATGTGCATGTTTTTATTCATCGCCGAATAAAAAAAAAAACACCAGGGGAACAGATTTGTAACATTAATGTATAATGTTTTCGTGTTACCGGTTCGGTTTTTAACACTTCATTCATATTTCGCATGGAGGCGGGGGACGTCCCCGTGACGTCGGGTGGAATACCGTCACCACGTGACAATGACGTCGTTCATTATTTTGGTGAAACATCAGGAAGTGTCGAAGAAGGCGACGACTGAAACCCGACAGGTTTAAGTTTTTCTTCCAAGTTAAGCTTTATTTAACTGCCTTTTTTACAAAGTCCCTGTAAGTATTTTATCCTCTAACTGTTGGATTTACGAAGAGTCGCCTCAAAATGTCGGCAATGGAAAGTATCCTTCACAAACAGTGGTGAGAAACGACGCTCGACGGTGGTGTAGCGTCGAGTGCTTAAAGACCGAACATAATGTGACGAAACTGGTGAGACCAACCTACGACGGACGTCTTCAATTGTTTTAATTATGTTAGATGTTATCCAAAGTCTTAAGCACTGCCTTTTTATGAACCTGAACATTTTCTAATCGATTCTAGTCGTCGTAAAATGGGGAGAACTCCAAGCCACAAGCTTTAATGCTAATGGCTGAAAATACCCAACAGCTGAAGTTTAATTATTTGAACTATGGAGTCAAGGTGCTAAGTTACTCCAAAAATAAAGAAAGTTTAAAATAACGACTATAAGTTTTTCGGGCTAAAAGCTCCTTATATAACACAAAAGCCATAAAAGGTGTGGCAGGAACTTAATTAATCACACGCTTATTGTTATGATAGTCTACAAGTGGACGTTATTGAACCTGTTATTGTGACAGCTTGATCACTCAGTCAAGAGTAAAGTTGTTGCAATTGTCTTAATTTTAAAATACACCAGACCGATGCTGTGTATTTCAGAGTTCAAATCCATTAAATAAAGCTGTTGCATGTATTTAATCTTGGAAAAACAAGAGTGCTCCAGACCTCAAGGGGCTGAGAGGGGCCCAAGCTCATGTGAGCATTATTGTCTCGTTGTTTGAATCACTGCTGATTTTGTAAGTTCGCTCATCACCATTTCACAGGGGTTCACCGTTCATTTCTGTTCCCTGGAGAATGTGCTAAATCTGGCAAATTGTTTGTTTGATGGGACACATATTCTATGTAAGAAAAACGCTGAAAGTGTCAAGACATTTCGCTTCTATCCCCCCCCCCCCCTACACTACATTAGTCCTTCAAGGTTTGTTGGTTTTGTTTGGACCTTGTTCTTCTTTAACTGAGTATCACAGAAAATCTCTTCAACCTGAAGATGGCCGCCAAAGATCTCCAAAGAAATTCAGCGAAATGTGACAAACAGGAAAAAGCCGAGAAGGCAAAAGTCAAGAAAGTAAGTTACACTTCTGATGCTGTAATATATGAAGTTAGATCAGTCTCAATATTCACAAACAATATTGAGACTGATCTAACTCCATAGTAATAGCAATAATATAAAAAGCATATAATAGAAGCTAACGAATTGGTCTTTGCTGCAGAATACTTTTTACTGACTCACTTCACTGTTTTTTCCAGGCCATCCAGAAGGGGAATATGGAAGTGGCAAGAATCCATGCAGAGAACGCCATCAGACAGAAGAACCAATCCGTGAACTTCCTGAGGATGAGCGCTCGCGTTGATGCAGTATCAGCAAGGGTCCAAACTGCAGTCACAATGAACCAGGTACGTTGAATACTGGGGTCACCTTTTGATACTGTAAGCAATACAGGTTTGAGAGTGGCACTCTAGACAGAAAACGTTAATTGCTTGTCATTTTTTTCCATTTAAATGAGTGTCTTTTATATCTCAGGTCACAAAATCTATGGCTGGAGTGGTGAAAGGAATGGATTCTGTCCTGAAGAGTATGAATCTGGAAAAGGTAGAGTGTTACTTAGTGCTTTTTTCTTCTTTTTTTTTTTTTTTTTTTTTTTAGCAGAAACCATAATCGTTGAAACACTTGGAAACAAATTCCTTTACGTTTTAACATGATTTCTTTTGTGATTACAGATTTCGGCTCTTATGGATAAATTTGAGCACCAGTTTGAAACTCTGGATGTTCAGACAGCCCAGATGGAGGACACCATGAGCAGCACAACAACACTCACAACACCACAGGTACATTTCTCTCCCCTTGTTGCGTGGCTTTATTTTTTCTAAAGACAAAACATTCACTTTACATTGGATGTGTGTTTCAGAACCAAGTGGACTCACTGATGCATGAATTGGCTGATGAAGCAGGGTAACCTTTTCAGATTTCAATCTCAACATTGTTAAAAAATGTACATTCTTGCCATGCATTTGTAGATTGTAAATCATGGTTGCTGTGAACAATTAGATTGTCATTCTTTGTAGAACTGTTTAAATGATTATATTTGATTGTTTTATTAACTTTTTAAGTAAGATTTGAACATGTGTTTGTTTATAGATTGGACCTGAACTTGGAGCTCCCTCGGGGACAGACTGGATCAGTGGGTACCAGCGTGGCCGCCGCAGAACAGGTGCACATTTTGTTTTAAAATCTTTTACATTTGGCACAGATAAACGTGTACTTTTTTGACCTTACGACATCACATGTAATAAAGGGGTTGTCACATAGAGAGAAACCGTGATCACAACATGAGTTTAAACTGAAAGCAATTGATAACCAAACATTTGAAAATGATTCTGATTTTTTTGTTTCAAAATGCTTATTTATTCAAAAAAGCATCATATATTATTGTACCATCTCCATTACCTCACTAACACCTGTCTTTTCTCTCTGTTATCCAAAGGATGAACTATCCCAAAGGCTTTCCAAACTTAGAGATCAAGTGTAAACAACAACTGCTGAGGACTTGCACCTTAATGCAGAGCTCTGGAGTGCTTTCACACTACCTGGATATTACTCCTAAACATTGTTTATTTACATCAGGTCTTTCCTCCTCTTTACATCTCATGTGTCTCTGCTTCTATTGTGGCCTCTGTTTCTTCTGTGTTCATTATTATCATTCAATACCTTTCTTCAAGCTAACGCAGATGATGGTGATGGAAACAAATATTTCTTAAATATACACAGAGGGAAAGATCAAATGGAACTGTATTGTTGAAATTGTGTACCTTGGAGGTCACCATACCTGTTTTAAAGTAATTACAAGTGGCAGTTGTACGCCTTTTATTTAAAGGCAAATTTCATTTACTTGTGGTGATTTATGTTTCTTGACCATAGAAGTGGATATCTGGTTCATCTGTGCATAACTGCAAACCCATGTATGCATTTTCTCCTCAGTGTGTGAAAGACCATGCACGTCACTGTTGAGTTGACTTGTTGTGTTGATATGTTTTGTTTCTGACATATATTTTAAGAAGATCCTGGATGATCGGCTTGTGTGTTTGCCTGATCATCGTCATTATTTTCACTGATCATTTGGGAAGGGGTTACACTTTGTAGATTTCATTCAGGAAGTAATCAATAAAATTTTATAATACTTTTATGTTTGTTTTTTTAATCTCTGTCATTAAATTAAATCATTATTTGCAGTAATTACACATTCATCAGGATTGCATCTGTAGTCACCACACATTTTGTGTGGACATAAAAAAAGCCACATAGTGTGTCTCCTTCATTCTATTAAATGTCAGACATTGAGACATTATGTTGTGACAAATATTTGTGGAACTATATGTGCTCCTCAGTGAACCAAAACAAATTACAGTGGATGCAAAACATACATCCAGTATTTAGCCTTTACAGAATAATATTTGTCAGAAATTACATGAAAATAAACAATACATGGGGTGACAATAGAAGAACATGAAATTATAAAATACTGCATACACTCACCTTTCTTTAGTGTTTGACATCCCAATCATTTCTAATCATTAATGTCTCTGACTACTCTCACTTACACAGAGGAAATAAGTGAATTATTGACCTTCCCTGTGACTGTCTGATACTGCTGCTGTGTACCTCCATGTTATCACAATCCCCTTCAAAATGAATTTCTTACTTGCTATGCTACACTGCATGCAACTGAAATCTCACTTCTCATCTGAACCATTATATAAGTGCTCTTCGAAAGCTATGCCACGAACTATGATGTGCAAAAAATAAACTTTTTTTAAATTTTATTTGCCCACAGTACACATTATTAACTACCTTCATGCTCATGTGCTTACTGGTGCTGAGGTTGATTGATTTAAACCCTGTTAAATTCAATCTTAAATGAAATTACAGCATCTACAAAGTCTCATCACAAAATACAAGCAGTATAGTTTGAAATAAAGTAACGACCTTCAGTATGAAGGGTGTGACATTAACTTAACCACAGAAAAGGGAACTCATTTGGATCAACAGCTAAATGAAAACAGCTAAAGGGAACAGAAATGAAATGAAATGAAATGTTGGATGTCAAAACAGGGCTTCCTAGTGGAGGCAATTCTACCGTGCACCCATAGAGACACAAAGAATGTTATTAATCACGTAAAAAAGTATGCATTAATTTCTGACCTTAAATAATCGTGATTCACTACTTAATGCTGACAGCCATAATAGAGAGAGAGAGAGAGAGAGAGAGAGAGGGAGAGAGAGAATCTTTAAGATACATAGATTATCATTTAACCTTTAAAGTCACGCAGATCAGATAACATCACTGAATTCTAAATTTGAGGTTATTTAAAAATGTGTATTTTAATGTGTTGTTTTCGCTTAATGTTGCTCATATGTCTAGGCTATATTTATTTCAGATTTTTGTTTATATTTTCATATTGTATCTTCTCTATGATTGTTAATGGTTGTTTTTGTGATTTTCAAACGTCTTCTAGTAATGTTTATTTTTATGTCTCGTGTGAAGCACTTTCAAATTGCCTTGTTACTGAAATGTAGTATCGCAAAAAACTAACCTTGCCTTTTTGGAGTTATCGAATACATTGATTTGTTTTTTGTTTTTAATTAAAAACTGAAAGACATTGAATTGAATATTTGTTTCACGTACAAAGTTTAATTGATGTGATAAGAGACAAAAGTTCAAGTGGGTGTCTGTCATATTGTTTGAAATGAAAATAAAAGCTTTTGAAAATGTTTTCTTTTTAAAAACAGCCCTTTCAAATGCCTTGTTTCTTGTAAGTCTACATTAATACCCTTTTTTTCCCGGTCCATTAGTCTAATAACGCCTTTTGCCCTTGACACCTTTAAGGAGTAAGTATCTCTATAACTCTACTTAAATCTTGTAAATGCATACAATCAAAGAAACAACAGATTTAACGACGGAAACGCTGCCCGCAAGACAAAACTCAGGGCTACAGTATTTTTGCCTCGTCATGTGACTTTGGCGTAAACAGGAAGCAGCTGATCTTGACTTCACTGCCTGCCTCTTCCAAGTAATGTTTACAACTGTATGCCAAGAAAAATAGACACCTTTGCTGAAAGAGCTTTATTTAAAGAAACATTTCTACCCTGCCGGGGTAAGTAGACGACAAAACTACTCAATATCTACAGAGCTAGCTTGCTGTATAGCTTTGCTGACATCTGTAGACTCTCTGTCGTGCTAGCTCTATTAGCATTAGCTTCGGTGTTCGCACGGAGAAGAAAAAAATAGTTTGACATAATTTTGTAAGCTGTTTGTGTGTTGTTTTGTGACTGTAAGCGAACGCGGTGATACCTATGTGTAGACGTGTTCAACGTATTGTGGATAAACTTATCTTTACAGTCACATCGTAGTTCTGCTTCATTAGAAATGATCTGTTACTCAGCAGCTGTGTGATAATTGTGTTTGGTATTCAGCGGAAAAGGAGAGCTGCTGCTGCGGACACACACTGAAGTCATCTGACTTGCAGCCCAGAGGAATACTCTACTTCGTGTCTGCAAAGGGGGGATGTCAAGCACAGCGATGAAGAAAAAGGTGAATCCATTACTTTTTACTTACAGTATATTTTAAAGCAGTATTTTACATTTGTAGTTGAAACTTTTACCATTAGGTCAACATGCCAAAGTTTTATGGTTTTGTAACTCAGTGTAGTCAAAACCGTGAGTTTCCTAAAAGTAATCCCATTAGTGACTCACAATATAAATCTCATCAATCATTTTTAGCTGATAGTATATCACAGCAGACCAATCTGAAATGTGCCAGTCATTGTTTTCTGTTAGTGTTGTGAAGCAGGTAGTTATTGGAAATAAGTGCAATGATGGATCTGATCATTTTCAGATCAAACATAAAAAAAACATATATTTATAGTATAACTGTTCTACTCCTCAGCTGCAGTCTTGTCTCAAACTGCACGTTTTAAAAGCCCTACGATTAAAAAGCATCTCCATGAATCCTGATAATGTATCGCATCCTCCATTTTCTTCTTCTTACTGCTATTATTTTTGGAGTTGTAGCAATGTGTATGTATACACATTGCTACGACTCCAATAATAATACAAGTAGTCACATCATTTTGAGCCCCATTTATATGTAGAACATGCTTTGAAAGAATCTGAGTATGACACAAGGGTATTAATGGTCAGTTACACCACCAATTATTACTAAAATAGATAAATAAATACAAGACTTTTACTTGGGATACAATGTTCTTACATTATTTATTCATTTATTTATTTTATTTAAATGTATTCAACCAGGAGAACCCCATTGAGATTAGAATCTCATTTGCAAGAGTGTCCTGGCCAAGAGGGGCAGCAGCACAACCAAGAGTTACAGACATAAAACACAGAGTAATTACAAACACAGTTTAACATATCCTGAGTCATAGAGCAGAAAGTCATTAGTCAAAGCATCTACAAACTGAAGTTACATTATCATTCTTCTTTTATCTATATAACAGTGTGAGAGAGTATACACAGAGAGGACACAAAAGATTTCAGTCATGGTCCTAAATGTAGCATTCATGCTTTCAGGTGTTACTGATGGGGAAAAGTGGGTCTGGAAAGACCAGTATGAGATCAATCATCTTTGCCAACTACATAGCTCGAGACACACGCCGCCTTGGAGCTACAAGTAAGAGAACTTTAAGAAAAAGTGGTAAATGCAGATGAATGTTTAATGCTGAAGTTTCTTTGATCTGATCTGTAACAACATCTTTTTAATTTTCTGTCGTTGAGTGTAGTTGACGTGGAGCACTCCCATGTTCGATTTCTTGGCAATCTGGTCCTAAACCTGTGGGACTGTGGAGGGTAAATACACTTGTTCATTATATGCTTTTTTCTTTTGTCCATCTCTGCTGATTCAAAGTTATTCCCATTTCCTGAATCCCTCTTTAAAACATGACTCTCTCCAACCCTCAGACAGGACACGTTCATGGAAAACTACTTCACCAGCCAGAGGGACAACATTTTCAGAAACGTAGAGGTTCTTATATATGTGTTCGATGTTGAGAGCCGTGAGCTGGAGAAAGACATGCACTATTACCAGTCATGTCTGGAGGCCATTCTGCAGAACTCCCCGGATGCCAAAGTGTTCTGCCTCGTTCACAAAATGGACCTGGTGCAGGAAGACCAGAGAGATCTGGTAAACATAATGGTTTTTGTTTCATTAGTAGCAGTGGTCTCACACTCTCTAATAAGTAGCACAGAAAATGCAGACGATTTGAAAGCCATGTTCAGTGCAGAAACAATCTTTTCTTTTTCCAATCGCATCCTCACTGTTGGGAATAAAAAAATAACACGGCATATTTATTACCGGCTTGAAAACAGTGTCACAACACATTACATCATAATAATAATAATAATGTATTTCAAATGAGTAGAAGTTTCTCAGCTTTGACAACAGCATGCTTCATTTTTTGGAAGAAAGATGTAGAATAGAGAATACACTACTCCAACTTTAAAATTTTGATGTTTTTTCTTCATCATTTGTTAGAGATGTTGAGATATAGTGCTGTCCATTTGACTTAGTGTTTTGTGTTTTTACAGATCTTTAAGGAACGTGAAGAAGATCTGAAGAGACTGTCCAGACCTCTGGCCTGTACATGCTTCAGGACATCCATCTGGGACGAGACCCTCTACAAGGTTGTGATCTATGACTGTTTTTGTGAAAACATGTCTGGTAAAAAAAAAAAAAAAAGGTTAACACTGTAGGAAACATTTTCAATGTCTTTGCAGGCCTGGTCAAGCATTGTGTACCAGCTCATCCCGAATGTCCAGCAGTTGGAGACAAACCTGAGAAATTTTGCTCAGATCATAGAGGCAGATGAAGTTCTTCTTTTTGAGAGAGCCACCTTCCTGGTGAGAACGGCCACCCTCTCTGATTCAGCCACTCATGTCGAAAATCTCCATCCTTTTATTCAAGTAATTTGTTGTTGTTCTGCATTGTGTTTCTTCAATGAAGGTGATCTCCCACTATCAGTGCAAAGAGCAGCGGGATGCTCATCGCTTTGAGAAGATAAGTAATATTATCAAACAGTTCAAACTCAGCTGTAGGTGAGTTCAGTCCGCAGAAGAACACCCTCCCTCCACATATATTCTGCTTAATTTCTTTTGAGGTGTCTGATTTTGTATATATTTTTTGTTATCTAGTAAACTTGCAGCCTCTTTCCAAAGCATGGAAGTGAGGAACTCTAACTTTGCCGCCTTCATCGACGTCTTCACCTCCAACACATATGTCATGGTCATCATGTCGGACCCCTCCATTCGTAAGTTTTACAGATCTTACAGTGAGCTTACAGATAAAGCCACTCACTGAAACACAAAAACACTCACTACCTCATTACTGTTGAACGAATCCACGAGAGTGTAGAGATAAGGAGCTATTCTTGTGCCTGTTAGCTTTAGCTTTGAAACAAATCTGCTAATATGCAATAAGATAGGAAGATAGGCAGGCTTGCATATAGTAGACAAATGTACAAATGTAAGCAGAATGAAATAATTAGATTTAACTGTGACAGCCACAGATACTGAGTATTTTGTTAAACAATGAGTCCCTTCAGGTAAGAAAGCCGGTACTAAAAAGCTGTTTGTAAATCTATTCCAAGGGTTTACAAATCTGTATGCACTGTTTCCCAAATCTGTACGCATGGTTCCCAAGCTATGTGGACTGATTTGTAAACTGTGTGCACGGACTTAATTATGTAAGCACAGAATAGTTTTGCAAACTGTGTGCAATGATTTACAAATCTGTGGTAAGGTTTAAAATCTGTGCGCACAGTTTACAAATCCATTGGTAGGATTTACTTAAGGCTTTTTCCTTTTTCTAACCTTGGTCACAAGGGGCTTCATGGACATAGTTTTCAGTGAGGATGTACATAAAATACGAACAAATATAATGAGTGCTTCTTATTATTCTTGAACCCTTGCCTTGAGAATTGTTCAAATCTCCTTTCTTCCTTTTTCTCAGCATCTGCAGCCACTCTCATCAACATCCGCAATGCTAGGAAACACTTTGAGAAGTTGGAGCGGGTGGATGGACCCAAGCACAGCCTGCACATGCGGATGCGTTAGTCGGGGCATTTGACCCAGTGGATACTCTCAGCCAATCAGCCCACAGACCACTGTGGTGGTCTTTCAGCTCTGATGCATATAAGCAGCCCTGCACTGTTTCTATATTTTCACATTCAATCAGTTATTTCTGGGCAGGAATCATTTTTTTGATTTATTTTTTGTTTTGTTGGTTTTTTGTGTCAAATTTCTACAGTGATCATATACAGCTTGAAAAACAACACATTCTGTTGAAATATTTGCCCCAACCTGATGAATTGAATTAAAAATAAATATTTGTGTTTGCTATGGAGGGGGCTACCTTTGCTGTCACCTGTATGGACCTATACAGTAGATTTCTTCACCCTAGGCAGTTAATCCCAGCGATTTGGGGATGTTAATTTCCAAATGATAAGCAGTAGATACTGTTGGATTTTCAAATGCAGTTTGTAAGCTGTTACAACTTTGAATGGATGGAAAATATAGTTATATTCAGAAAAAACATAATCTGTGTTCTGTTTTTCTTTTTTGATATTTTGACATTGTCATGCAACAAGATGTGTATCTTGAACAGAAAGGGAAGTTGTTCCTCTTGTTCCTTAGACTCACTGCAGCAGCCACAAGGTCTTTTGACACTTCGGAACAGTTGTCCTCTCCACATGACATATGGTGGCAGGTGTTTGATGTGGTGGGGGGCTGGACGTATACGTGTGCGTGTGAGAAGAGTGCGTGGTGAAGGGGGGCGTAAGAGTTCAGTGCACCTGTTAAGCAAATTGCATGAAATTGACAGAAGTACAACAGTATTTTATCTAGACAAGAAGGTGATTGTTTGTTGTCTTGTTTTAAATAGTGACAAGCTGGTTGATGAAATGTTTGAAAGCAACACTTCTTGTTACTGTGCTGTAAGTGAAATCTTGTATCTAGTTTCAGACACAGTTTTCACTCAGGTTTGAAATGGGGGGAAAAAAAGGGGGGCGCTTATGGCGTAGCGGTTTGGTTGCGGCCATGTTTGTAGGCCACTGTTCTTCAAGCTGGTGGCCTGAGTTCAAATCTGACCTGTGGTCCCTTTCCTGCATGTCATTCCCCACTCTCTCTCTGGTTTCCTACTCTATCCACTGTCCTGTTAAATAAAAGCCCAAGATATATATTTAAGAAATAAATAGAAAAGAGACTGCAGTGAAGTTTAAAGATAAATAAATTGAGTGTGTCTTGACCATGTGGATATGGCCATATATACTTGTCTTTGTTTGAATCCCACTAGACTATTGTGATTGTTAAGTACTTTGTCTTTACATTGTGCATGCAGCGTTGTGCTTTTTAAAAAATATTTATTTTGGGGCTTTTTGCCTTTATTTGATAAGACAGTTGATAGAGTAGGAAATGGGAGATAGAGAGGGGAATGACATGCGTAAAAGGTGCCACAGGCCGGACTTGAACATGGGCCTCCCGCTTGGAGGGCTATAGCCTCCAAAATGTGGTTTGACCTAACCGCTAGGCCATCTGCACTGCACAGCTTTGTACTTCTTTATTATTTACAGCTCTAATAAAATTAAAATGTTGTTGTTCTTAATCCCTCAAAGATAACTTTTTTTTAAATCACTTCTGACGTCAATTCAAATATTGATGCAATCCTACCACAGCCCAAATCTTATGAAGTTTGTGTTTTATGGGGGGGGGGATTAATGGGTCATAGGCTACATCTAGATATTTTAGATTTAAACTGAAACAAATTTGGTTGTGAAGTCAAACAGTTTTAGCAGTGTAGGTTACTGAAAAGTACTGTTTCTATTTTCTCCAAATTAAACTCCAAATAAAAATGCCTAACCATACAATAAAACAAAACATGTAAAGACTGGTTCAAGAACAGATTTTGGTCTCTGTAGATCTTTTCTCCTTCATAACAACATATAGAAGGATATTAATTTTTAAATAGTATAAAGGCTTAAAGTTATAATCGGGGTGTGGTTGCTTTGAGTGACATATGCATGCTTTTAGCTGTCAGCTGCGTGCAGGGTCATTCAGTAAATGAACTCGGCATTTATATGATTGTTGTCAGGGGAATAACTCTTAACAGGGTGCCAAGAAAGTCTGTGCTCCAACTATTCTGGTGAGTGAAATATAGAGTAATTTTAAAGTAGGACATATTAACATTTATCTGTGTATGCAAGAAACGTAGTCAGCTATTGAATTAGACATGTTCAGACCTGTGTTGCTGTGAAGCTGATTTTTTTTTTGCGAACCCTTCACTACTCTCCAGCTTCAACCTCTTGCCCAAATATGGTCATTATGTGTTCCAAAAACCTCACATTGCCAAACTCAAGATTTCAAAAAGGTTCCGAATGACCTTTTACATTAAATGTAATTCATTGAGCTCTTCACGTGCTGCAGAAAACACAGGTTTTATACTTTGATCCCAAAATAATTTCAAGAGCTGTTCCTGTCTTTTTTTCCTTTGTGGCAGATCAAAGAGAAACTGTATATTTCTGCTCGATGACGAGTCCACAGCAGGTACACAGTGACTGGATTTTTGTCCATTGTACTTGGTCTCACCCATTCCTTCAGGGGCTGCAGTGAATGTGTACTCGTTACCTCCTACCTCTTTATCACAGCCTGCTCTGGTACAGAGGCATTGTTCCAGCTGTGCTTATCGACACTGCTCATGTGGTTGAGTTGTATCCTGGAATGCAGAGGCTAAATAAGTGGAAAATCCCCAGTCCTGGCTTCTGAGAGAGAGTCGCCATCATAGAAAATAGTCTAACTCAGAGACAAAGTGTCTCACTCATTCCTAAATAAGAACAGCAGAGTACATTTTATGGCAAACTGCAAGTGAGTCACTTTTCCTTTGAAACCGTAGTTAGGATCACCAGCATGGTATGCCAGAGCTGGAAACTTAGTGTTTGTGTTTATGCAATCAGCAAATCTCCTCTTGTCATCTCTCTTCGGACTTTTACCCAGGAGAAATATGCTGTAACAGACAAGGTGTACAGTGCCAGAGCGTGATATAAAACACTTCAGGAGAAATTACTCCCTCTGCTGATTCAACCAAACACAAGACAAGTCACCTAAAAACCATGGCAACCATTAATGTTTAGTCTGAAATCCAAAAAGTGAGATTTTCATTTCATTTAACAGATTTTTAAATGTACTTACTGTAGTTGATTTGTTGGTATATTTTTGCTCATCACTAATTTGTTCTCTCTCTGTACCGTGATCTAGCTTGATGCTTGATGGACATGACTGTAACATCCAACTACTTTTTCCTTTTTTACTAAATTTTATGTTTATTGACATGCAGACATTTCTTTACACTCAGTTCAACTGATAAAACATTCTCACATCAGAGGTCATAAAAGGTGTCTTCTTAATATTGATGAATCTTTAAAGAGATGGAAAGAAAATTGTCCTTAGCTTGACAGTTAATGTTTTGATGTCGGGCTCTGTCTCTCCTCTTTTTGCACACTATTCCGATGCGGAGACCCATCTGTTCGGCCAACAGGTCCACAGTTAGTTTCACTGACAATCTCTGCATCTGCATCATTGTCATCACTCGCATCTGCGCCGCAGTCCGTCTGGTTCAGCTGCCGCTCTAGCAGAGTGATGCGCTGCTTCAGCCGCAGCTGAGTCTGTGTGTACTCGCTGAGCAGACGGGCAAAGCGAGTCTGAAGCGTGTCCAGAGAGGACTCCAGCCTCTCCACCTTCTCCTCTGTGTCCTCTTTCTGCAGCCCACCGCTCTCTGCGTTCTCATCCAGCAGACCCTCCTTCATCAGGATCTCCCGGCCCCTCTCCTCTAGAACAGTCTTAGCACCTGGATACTCAGTCACTGCCTCCATCAAGTCGTCCTTAGAGAGGCAGAAGAGATCAGAGTAACCCAAGCTGCGAATGTTGGCTGTCCGCCGATTGCCCATCTTACTTCCCTTTATGTTTAGGATGCTGATTTCCCCAAAGCAGCTGCCAGCTGTGAGGAGAGCGTACTGTGTGACCCCGTCGTCGGCCACAACAGCCAGCTTCCCCTCTTTAATGATATACATCTCTTTCCCGATGTCCCCTCTTCTGCAGATGTAATCCCCTGGACTGAAGACCTGTGGTCTGAGTTTGAGCACAAGCTCTACCAGCAGTCCTGCCTCACAGTCTTGAAAAATCCGTACTTTCTTCAGGGTCTCCAGATGTACATTAATAGCAATCTCAGCCCGCAATTTGTTTGGCAAGTTCTTCAGCACCTCCTGCTCGTCCACTGCTTTTTTGTTGGTCCAGAGGTAGTCGAACCATTTAATGACACGCGTCTCCAGTTCTTTGCTTACTTTGCGAAAATGCATGTAGTGTTTGATGGCATCTATCCGAGCTTGAAACTCCGCACGTGTGGCATTCATGTTGGCGATCATGGAGCCAACGTTTCCCACAATTGTGGCAAAGATCAGCACTCCAACAAGAAAGTCAAAAACCACAAAGAGGTACTCCTCATCTCGCACTGGTGCCGGCATCTCTCCGATAGTGGTAAGAGTAAGAGTGGACCAGTACAGGCAGTAGACATAACTCCGAGTCAGGGAGGAATACTCAGGTTTGGAGATGTTTGGGAACACCCAAGTGTCTGAGCCAAACCCCAAAGACTTAGATATTGCATAATAGATGCAGGCGTTCCAGTGAATGATGACCAGGATGTAAAGCACCAGGTTGCCAATCCGAAAGATGTTGGGGTAGTTGGTGCGTGTTTCTGTGCGGTCAAAAAATTCAAACATGCGTGGGAAGCGCAGCAAACGATTAAACCTAAGCTGTGGTGTGTGGATGCCGGTAGAGATATATGCAAGGTCAGTGGGCAGGATGGACAGTACATCGAGCTTGAACTGTAACGTTCGGATGTAGCTGTCTCTAAGCTTGACATGGTCCTTCACCAGCAGACCTTGTTCCAGAAAACCTGAGGGGAGAAAGACAGATCACAAATTCAGTTTTAAGAGTAATCTCAGCTCATTGGTTTCTTTAATCAAATATGTGGATGAAAAAAACACCAACAATACAGACCAAAGATCAAATAACAATATCTATAGTAGTAGTAGTAGTTAAAAAAACAAGAGAATAATCACTGAACTCTATTTATCTCGCATCAGCTAGTAGTTAAGCTGATACCATACCAGTATCAGAAATGCTTCAGATAGGTGTTTAAGACAGAGCCCAGATGCCTCTTATATTATTTCAGTTGCCACGCTGGTTTCTAGATTAAGATCCCTTCAGTGTACTGGGCGATGCAAACAATGACATCAATCATAAAACATCCATACACAGAAAACTATAACATTCAGATTCAGAAATTAATGAAGTAATAAACAATATGTAATTAATTGTTTAACCATTGGTACTGAAGGGTGAATTGCAATCACCAATTATCAAGCTCTTTCCTTTTCTTTCTTAAGCTTAAGTGTTTAGTGCTATAATTTCAAGTAACCACAAGCAGCTGTTTTCATTGAAAATTGTCCTCATTGCTTCCTTTGCTACCTTTTATATTTGCATGCCAGAGGTATTGATCACATTTTTTCTTCAAAAGTGTTATGTCAAAGTATTTTTGATCCCTGTTTATTGGGAAAGCTGAAAATGGCATAGGTTGTTGAAATTTTACGGGGATTGTCATATTTCTGCACACAAAAATTAAAGCAAGCTGTCACAGTCATTTGAAATACCTGTGCGAAGTCGGATGCAAGTGTCCATTATGTACACAAAGTCAGACATGTAGTCCAACACCAGCCAGCAGATGTAATTGCCCACTTGCAGCTTGTCAAAGCATGCCCTGTGAATGTAAACACAAATGGATTTACAGATAGAGTCTTACAAGTGGAAAGTAAAAACACACACTCACTCCATCCGTCATCCATCACTGGCGGCTGCAGGGAGCCAACAGATAAAGACTGTTGTGTTATTACCTGGCTACAACAAGGAACCAGTTGTAGAGCACGGCTGTGGCGATAACAAATAACCAGCGGTAGTATGCATTATCAGCTGGGGACACCACAAAAAGATCCCACTTTTTCCTGAAAGAGATGGAGAGATAATAGATAAGCCACATGTTTTACTAATACCTGAATCTTCTACACAAAACACAAAAAGATGAAAGCAGCTGCAAAACATAAAATGATGCAATGCAACAACTCTGCAAATGAAATCATCATTTATAACATCTGAGAGTTTAAGTCAGGTCCCAAACTATTGCCATTAATGCAACCAAAGGTACTTTTAATATTTAGCCCCAAATATTTAGTATTAATAGTGAAGCTAAAATATGTATTATAACAGTACATGTCTACCACCTAATGGACAGTTTAACGCTTGGGTTTTCCCCTGGCGTGTCCCACTGTTTTCTAACCCTAAACATTACCCTGTATACTATTAGACCCACAACCCTTAAAGATTTTTACTGGTGTGAAATATATTTCTAAATGATTTACTTTTTTTTAATGTATACTTATTACAGAGCTGTTAATGTACACAATATATTCAAAGTACATGGTCACGGTCCAAGGTGACTGGCAGGCATACCTGAAGATCCCTTTGGTGTTACCATTTGCGTCAGGCTGTGTATTGCTGGCGCGGCTCGGGGCTATTCTCAACTCAGGACCCCGGAAACGCTCAAGGAAAGAGTCCGGCCGCTCTTCCTCCTCCAACAGGCTTCTGTGTGCCCATTCCCTCAGTCTCACCACCAGTCTAAACAGTCTGACACACACACACGCGGGCACACACACATACAAGAAATATGAAAGCTCACATAAATATAACATCACAGCTTTAGGTAAAATGTAAAAATAAATGTAGTCATGCAAAAACTCCCAAACTTTAAATCTCTGCATGTGTACTTTTTGTCCAGCCTGTGACCCTAAGACAACTTCAAACGAGTTCAAATGAGCCTCTTTTAAACTTTGTTGGTACCAAAGGCCATGAGCTGCTTTTGAAAACAAATGATCTGATCAGTTAGGCTTTGTGTAGAAGGGTGATGTGCCACAGCTGGGAGTTAAGCTTTACCCTGAGATTGCTCCGTTTCTTTGAAAAGAGTTTCTTGAGGTTCTTCCATGAGGGTCGAGGGCAGAAACTCTTTGTAGCTCTGAGGATGTGTCATCACACACAGATGGCACCCTGGGAGGTTAAAGAAAAACATTTATGTTAAATATTGTACATGGTCCCTTTACAAATAAAATAAATAAATAAATAAAATAACTCACATTTGACTAATCTCAGACAAAACCTCTAAGGCTAGTCAATTTAAAAAAAAGAAAAAGTTTTTGTCACCTGCTAAGAATACTCTCAGCTCTTTCGATCTCCTCCTCCAGAGTGGTCTTCACTGACAGATTGTGAGGAGACTGCTCTCTCTCCGCTGGATGGCCGGTCATTTTCAGATCTGCAGGTGCTGAGAAAACATTTATTTCATAGCAGTCATCTATTCTACGTGAGAGGAGCTTTCGGTCAAGTTTTTCTGCAGTGACACTGTGCAAGCTGAACAAAGTGTTTGTAGTTAACAGGGAGTCTCTGGGAGTGTTTATTGCCAGGGGACTGAGGGAGGGAGGAGGACTGGGACTGTCTGCCCCTTACCTGGCCCGTCACACAGCAGCTGGTTGCTGTGGTAACTGAAGATAAACTCAGTGACATGATAGAGATGCTGCATTGTTTGAAATGCAGTTTTGCGTTGGTGCGAGTTAATCTAAAATGTGTTTCCAAGTGCAAACGCTAACATCCCCAAAGATGTTAGAGCACCTAGTGACACCGCTTCACCCTCGGCAGCGCAGACAGGTGATGAGGTGTTTAGGTTTCTGTTACCAATGTGTGACTAATTGGTAGATCATTAACGAAAACACACACACACATGGTTGGCCTGAAGCTCTGAGGCTCAGTGAGCCAATCAGCTGCTCTCCCTGAGGAGCTTCATATCTTTGGAAACCAGGGAGCTGAAATCAAAGTAATTTATGTGACATAGTTATAAAGAAATGAATGAGCATTTATTTGGTTTAAAATTGAGGTTTTTCTTTTAGAAAAATAATATAAGTGCCAAACAACATTACTATTTTACAGAAAATATGGACGTAAAGAAATGTTCACATTTTATATAAACAAATCATAAGTAAATCAGAGTAACGCTTTTCTCCCTGCAGTTCCATGCAAGTATGATTTATATATCTTTGATTGAATACATTTTACAGTAAAAGTGTCATGTTCTTCTTTGTAATTGACTAGAAATACATATTGCTGTAAATATCAAAACGAACCAGTTTTTTTTTACACACATTATTATTATTATTCTTTACTCCATCACTTTGGAAAAAAATCTTCTTTACATATACATTACTTTGGGAAGATTTGCTTGAAAAATAACAAAAAAAAAGTTGACATGAATCTTTATTCTTACCTTTCGTTTTCTTAAGTTAATCCAATAAAATCCTCATGGTGACTTCACACAGACACACCCAGAGCAGCTCGTTCCCTGCCAATCCATCCTCAGTGCCGAGTCTGTAAAAGGAAAAATCAAACTGCATCTAACACTACTGAGAAAAATCACGTCGCGACCCATTCTGGCAATGTTTTTCTGTGAGCTGGCTCTTCAGGTGTTCCCCTCAAGAGCAAGAACACATGGTCTACCTGATCCTGGATGGCTGGCAGGATGGGCGACGCAAGGCGGGGAATTCTTTGCACCGTTAAGAGCCCAGATGTCAGCTTTAGACTGAGGAGTCTTCAGGGAAGACCTGCAGAGCTCTTCTTCTGCATAATTCTTATAACTTAGATACGGCACGAACAAAAGGACAAATCAACAGGACATTTTATTTGTTGCATAATTTATTTAGCTTTCTCTGTATAGCTCATAAACTTATAATATTTTAAATATGCTGTTTGGAAAATCTCTTAGCCTGTGTATGTCTTGTGTAGGGCTGTCTTATTTTGATTTCCTTGATTTCATCTACTTTTTTGATTTTCTTGGTGCACATATGATCTATTGTGTGATGAGACAACTGGGAAGCATTGACTTGAAACACTGACTTACTGTGCTGAAAAGTAACTTAGAAGATTAAAATGTATTCTAAAATTTTGAAATTCTTAAAATACTTATTATTTCAGTGTTAGCTCAAAAATGTTCTGTCATATGAAGGTATTTTTCCATGATGCACTTTTCCTTTTTAATAATAATTTTCAATGTTGAAATGTTCTCAGTATATTGTATTTAGAGGCTTTCTCTTTTTATCCAAAACCTACCATATAGACACGCACTCTGTAGGGTAAATGGAGCTTGAAAATTAAAATGACGGCCACTGGAGACTGCCTGTCTCACCTTGCTCTCTGACAGAAAGACAGATCAGATCCTTATAAAACAGAAGGATTGGAAAAATACTCAAAACCGCAAGTGGAGTGAAGCCCTGAGGACCTTACATCTAATGGAGATTCAGTCCAATGAACAGTAAACTACAATGTGCCACAGATATCCTCGACTGTATTCTATCTGAAGTGTGAAAGAACCAAAGTGTGTGTGGACATTTTTCTATTATTGGGCTCAGTGCCAGTGCAACAAAAAGCAGCTGGGAGAGGAAACACAAACAAGAATACATGTGTGCTGTAATAAAGTTGAGCTGAGTTGTATAAATTTTACAAGGTGTTGTTTACAGCAACAACTTTGCTTTACAATCAGAAAAAGGAAGAACATAAAAACATCAGGGCTGTAAAACAGAAACTGAGATAAGAGAAAGGAGAAGAAGGCAGCAGTAAAAAGAAAATGAGACGAAATGGTGTTTAATAATGGTTCATAAAGTTAATGTGTATGCTGTTTTATGCCAGTATGGGGTTGTTATAGACCTAAATGGAGGTGAGGACTCAGTCCCTGTTGGGTTTTCAGTTAAGATAAGATTTGAATGAAAAAAAGCATAGGACTTCTTTCTTTAGGTTTAGTATTTTTACAATTTGTGTTTCATATGAAATACAATAAATTCAAAATCATAAATGCACCCATTAATTTGAAAGATGTGCTGGCAGGTGGAGGCTCAGTTGAGAAATGGTCAGTTTTTCTAAGCTAACTGGTTTTTGCATTTTTACATGTCTTTGCAAGCTCAGTGGTTGGATTTCAATTCATATTTGACATTTCTATATGAAAATAAAGACTTTTATAATGACATAATTTCTTGGTCTGTTAGTTTCAGTTGCCGTTTTGAAAGCTAATGCCAAAGCACAGGAATAGACTATAAAAATCAAGTCTAATCGATGTTATCCCTTGGTTTCTGAACAAGTGTTTTGAAGCCCAACAATGGTTGATGCCATGTTAAAAATGCTATCTCAATTTAAGCCTCCTGGAAAACAGCTACAATACATCCCCGTCAGACAACTCAGGCATGCCCTGAATTATGCAAATGTGTGCAAAACTCTAAGCCACAATATATTCCAAACAGAATAAGTTATTAAAAGAAAAAATCCTCCCACATCTTTTAACTTGTAAATAAATAAGCTATTTATACTGAAACTGGCTTTGTACCAGGTTTTAAACACGCTAATGTCAGTGTTTGAAATATGAAGAATTAATTTATGGGACGCCTGATCTATCAATAGAGCTAAACCAGGGCCCTGAATTTGAAAAATATTCACTTCTTATCAATGTCAGCGACAAATGTCTGCCCTACACATCAGAACCTGCCTTTCTTAAAAAATGTTTTTCAAACCTCTGCAGCAAATGCAGTCAGGCTCAAACCTGGGAGCACAGTTGACATGTGGTCAGATATTTTATATCGTAGTTGCCTTTACTGTAACTTAAAAAGATAGCACAAAATAGTAGCTTTAAAATTCATATTTATTGTAAAGCACTTAAAAGGTAGACATGAACAAGACACCAAATACAATTTGGCCGCTGTCACTGAGTATCAAACTACCTGGAATGAAGTAACTGTTTATATTTGGTAATGTTGAGTACAATAATAAAACAGAAAACCTCAAAGCTTTTACAAGTCATCTTTGATATAAGAAGGCACAGCAGAAGCCAGCAGAGTCCAGTCAGCCGGCTCCTCATCCAACGTAACAGACAGAAAAAAAAAAAAAACCCTTACATCATAGACCAGACATTTCACCAAAACAGCGTTTACCTCCTGTAATAATCCCAAGAAACAAAGAAGACGAGCAAAGGAATACAGACAGCACATCAGGCTGGTCATTTCTATAACTTGACCGTATGGCTTCTGTATAGCGATATGTATAAGTTCATAGTGCCAGTTATTAAGACATGCTTGTACTTGATTAAATAAGAGAGGAGGTTTGGGTGTTTTTCAACCTGTGCTTCACCTAAATATTCCACCTCTGACATTTTTCTTTACCTGGTCAAGCATTTCATCATCAGTATAGTAATCAGGAATGTGTGTGTTTCTAATTCATGGATAGTATTTACTTATCAGTCAGAGTAAAAATATGTAAACAACCTTGCAGCTGGAAATATGCATATTGGCTTTATAAAACGGTTTTCTTATACATTGAACAGGAAGTTGGCATATTGAATGTAACAAGTAACAAGCCTTCTCTTTGGACATTTTAGTATTTTGGACTCATTTTTAAATAAGAGGAAAGCACATACTTCAGTAAACACCTCAAAAGAGGTAGGATACATGCAAATTCGGATTTTGTACTTCATATCATTATGCTATGACAACAACAAAAAAATCTTTGTCTCTTCATTTCTTCAGTTGGGAGAGCTCTTGCTCTTTCAAAATGGCTTGGGGGTAGTTGGTAAAGTGTCACTATGATCTCGGACAGCCTCTTAACACCGCTTCATTCCCCGACCCATCAAGCAGGCAAACACCGTCATCACCATTTTGCATCTGACCTCAACAAGATCTTCTGGGAGGGCATAGACACGGGCTCCGATTTTCCTCGCCATAGAGACGGCATATCTGGGAATGAGAGAGGAAATAATGAATTCAACAGTATATGAACACACCATTTCCAAAATAATGGCAAAAGGCTTCCTCTCTATTGTGTGTAATAAAAGATCTTACTTGGCATTTTCTAGCTTGTCTTCCTCACTGAGACTGCCGGTTTTTATCAGATCATAGTCGACGCAGTTTGGCTGGATGGCGTCTATCAGTTCCAGTACTGCCATGCTGCTGCTGATCTCTTTGTCCTGATCCCCACATGACACACACATTAAAGATGTAACACACACACATCTTACTGGTGAGAACATGTAATGCATTTTGGTTTTCATAACACTGCAAGTATATTACCTTCATTCTACAACAGTAATTTGATATGGCTAGAGGCATTCAATGAGTGCTGATATAAAATAAAACAGCACTGGAGAGATTATCCTGTATGATAATGTTATGCATTAGTCTCCCTCAGGTGTTCTGAATATTGTTTTAGCAACAAAATGGTCTTTCACTCTATTGACTCATTAAACAAGCCACATAAGAGACAGTCAACAGACTCTTTATAAATGAGTAACATCATGAATCACGACATGATATAAAGGAGTGGGTCTGTGGTAACATGCAGACATACACACAGTAGAAATCACTGAGGAAAATTGTTTATTTGTTGGTTGTTAAACAAAAACAATAATCTAGTGTTTGTTAATCCTTTGTGCTTTAACGTTAAGTTTTAGTTTTGTATAAATATTGTTGTATAAAAGTAAAAACCACACTTAAGGTTGGGCTGACCAAATCCCATTCTGGCTGATATGAAGAACAGAACTCCCCCTCATGTGATATTACTTCATTAAAAAGCATATTCATAATGAAATCTTGCTAAATTTAATTAAAAAAAAAAAAAAAAAAGGATTTTATTTTTGACTTTAGAAACAGCATGAGAAAGAAAACAAGTAAGCTGAAAAGGTCTACTTTCTTTTAACTGCATATTATGCTCCTAAACAGCTAACTGAGTGAAATATGACATCACACTTCACCCACATTTAAGACCATGTTATAACAAGACTGACAAGTTATGCTTTTTTTTCTTTAAGTTTTATATTTGATAAATTAAATTAAATCTACGCACACAGCAGTGTTCAGAGAAATAAGAGATAAAAAGCAAACTAGGCTTACCTTAAAGCTTGAAATCTTTGTTGTTTTTCCAGCTTCCGCCAATGTTTTGTTCACCCATTTTACAATGATGTCATCGTTTACTTTCTGTCCCTCACCCAGGTCTTCCAGCACATTCAACGTATATCTGGAAGAGTGAAGGAGCGGCAGGGTGTTTATAAGCATATGAACTGTACACTTAAGTTTAACATTTTACTTGAATTTGACAGAAAATTAAACAACTTTATTTTATCCCATTGTAACAGCATGCAACATGTTCTAACACATTCATGATTTATTCCTTCTTCCCAGACTAAGTGAATGAAGTTTAGTATTTTTCGTCTTGTCTTAATGAATTTAATTACTAAATATATATTTTATAAATTGACCCCGTCACTGAGATCTAGAAAACCCTACATCTTTACCTTTAACAATGCCAAAAAGTTTTTTTTTATGCAAACCAAATATGTGATGTTGTGTTAACACATGTTGGAGTTGTATTTCTATTTGAGCCATCCTCATGTTGTGTCTCACCTTCTCATCAGCTGCCACACCAGAGCCAGGGTCAGGGTAGGGTTGCCATCAATCAGGTCGCCCCCAGCGATGCCAACAAGGGAGAACTTAGCTTCATGGCCCAGTTCCACTGCATAGTTACAATTCTCCAACTACAACACAAATAACAGGGACGGGGGGGTTGAAAAAAGATTGGCAAAGAGTTTTCTTTCTTGCCTAGTGGGGATTAACAGAAACCTGATTTACCTTTTTCATGTAGGTTCCCAGTTTGGGGTAAGGAGGCATGTTGACTTTGTTGTTCCAGTCGACGCAGACTTTAATCTTCTCATAGAGTTGAAGGATGACCATGGCATCCTGTAGATCTCTACAAGACAAGGTTGTTTTGAAAGCATGAATAAGACATGAGAAAAAAAGCTGAGATCAGGTTGGGGGATCGATCCCAGCTCCTGCAGCTACATGTCTGATGTGCCCTTTGGCAAGACACTTAACCCCAAGTTGCATCTGCTTTGTTGGTGGTGTGTAAATGTATATGAATGGGATATCCAATACTAATTGTCACTTTACATAGCAACCTCTGCCATCAGTGTGTGAATTAGTGTGAATGTGAAGGTGTGACCTGCGGTGTAAAAAGCGCTTTGAGTAGTCAGAAGACTAGAAAAGGGTTATACTACTTACCCATACAGATGATTGACATGTGGGTTCACTCCCAGTGAGTTCATCCAGTTTCTGAATGTCCTTTCTTCACGTGTCTCACCTGGATAGCAAGGAGATACAGATATAAAAACAGGCTGCACCATTTGCACCTAGCTATGCATGGCTTTGGGCTGGGTGTTTGATCAGGCCCAAATTCTTTAATACCAGAGGTTTAAGGTTTAAGGAAGTAGATTTTGTTCTGCTCTCCATACACACCTTCCAACAGTCCCCAATCAATGTCCTCGTTCTCAGGTTTGGTCAGTGCTGGATATTTGTTGAAAAGATTGGCCACAAAGGCAAGGTTGAGTTTGGGGTTTCCGCTGACGACGTCATTTGGAGTGACAAACTGTCGACAGCCAAGCCTGTCAGCCTGCTGCAGCATGGCCTCTGCCCTCTTCACGTCGTCTTTCTCCTGAACAACACACAGAACACATGCTCCAATCAGAGACACTGGACAGCTGTTACCATGTGGTAAAGATACTCAGCTATGGGTGCTGACTGTCAAAATGCTTACACTGAGGCCTGCCATGCTGATGTCTATGCGTGGCTTGTCTTCATCTGTGCCTTTTGGAGAGATTTGGTTCAGTAGGTGGAAATAGGCCCTGGAGTCCTGAAAAAGAATACAATATACTTAGATTTGGAATTATTTTACAAAATTAAACATTGTACACGTTTAAGATAGTTGCAGTCTTGGTGAAGTAATGTGAATCTGATCTTAGTAAGTATTAACTCTGCACAGCATACTTATCTCTTACTTCTTTCCTCTGCTGGTATCAAACCAAACTAAATGCAAACTGGGCACTGATCAAAAACTACTTAAGGCAAATATAAAAAATGAAGTCAAAGTATCTCAGACAACTTCTGATGTCTTCATTCATATTCAATAAACAGAGAGCAATGAGAAAAAAAAAACACAGGTAACCACACAGGTGTAAGAGACAGGTGCAGAATGTACTATGTCTGCCTGGTTGATTTATAGAGACAACACCCTACAGTGAAATGAGTTTTTTTTTCAACCAACAAATTCTTGACATGTCCCATTGCAGAAAGGATTGCCTCTTGTTTAATGTAGATCTTTATCGAGCTCCAAAGTGCTCTACCAGCAGCACAATTGTTATCTCTGTCCATACAGATAAACGGTTTTATGACATAATAACAGAAACCTTAAAAAACATTTAAACTTAATTAAAAGATAACTAAGAACACAGTATCATCTCAAGTAAGTATATTAGAGCAATGCAATACCACCATACTACTATAACAGCATAATAAAAAATTATATAAGTGCTGATACTTTTTTATATGTTTGTATAAATACAATTATTTGATGTATAACTGTATTTAAACAGTTATATGATTTCTTTATAGCAAATTAGCATAATTCTAAATACAGCTTAATACAGTCAAAGATTTTTTGCTGGTCTAAATGATTGTCTGTGATCTCCAGTGATGTTGTACTGTCTGTACAGTGTGATGGGACTGGACACAAATGAGCATCTTAATCACTCTGTTTTGAGTCAGCCCGTCATAATTCGTTTGGGAGAGGTTATGTGCAAAGTTATCTGAACTTAGTAAAAAGCTCCAAAAGCATTTTATGCTTTTTAACCAAAACCCAATCATCAACATGTACACTTGAAAGTTTACCAATGTTAACCAAAAAGAGACACTACCCACTCAATCCTATTTTCTGAGGTGGATTTTTTGCGAGTGCTAGTACAAACGAAGTCAGTTATTGTGCTGATAGATACCCCTGTTGGTGAACCTTGTTGCCAGAGAAGTACGTGTGAAGAAAACCTACAGACTGTCCCAAACAGCTCTAAAACTGAAACGATTTTCATATATTAAGATATATTTTTTTTTAATCTGAGTGGTTTCAATATCTGCAACATTTGTGTTAACTGTTGGTTCAATGTTAGGGAATAGGCCCACCTTGATGTCAGAGCTGAAGTTGTTTATCTTAGGCTGGCCAGCATTTTCCAGGTGATAGTTTGCCCAGCGCAACAGCAGTTCTTCTGGAGACAACTTCATCAGGTCCTCCAGGGTTTCCCCGTCTCTTAACAGGGCTGCCAGTGCTGTCAGGGGTGTTAATGATCAGTAAGGCTACTTGACAACAGACCAGGAAACCCTAATGATGACAACACAGACTCTAATAAGAGTAATGTAATGGACCTATCAGATATCAGGTACCTTCATTTCGGCTGAGCTCAATGTCAGCAAACAGGCCAATTTTGATGATCTGCCACAGCAGGCCCAGTACCAGATGGGGCTTCCCCTCACTCAGGTCTAAAGCACCGATGTTCACCACATGGCAGCCGATAGCAGACGCTGAGTTGAGGGCCAGGTTGAGATTCTCCTGTAAGGTACCGAGCATGAGCTGTTGGAGCATTACCATTGAAAGTAAGAGAAACAGCAACTAGTCAGATGTTGAATTTACCTGCTCTGTAAACAGTGTTCTTTTCTTCTTATTGATGGTCCTCTCATCAATAGTGTCTGGAACTGACAGGTTGATCATTTTGCTGTGCAAACATACAAAACCAGACATGAAGTTTTATCACGTTTCATAAAGTGTCAACATAGTAAAATAAGGAAGATATACAGTAGCAACCAAAAGTTGCAGAAGATTAATGTTTATAAACTCTGGCAATAACTCAGCTATGGTACATGAAATTAAAGTATTTGGAGTTGAGCTTTGTCCTCCTTAATGTTAGAATACTTTATAATAAAGCATTTCAAAAGTCTCAACAATTAAACATTTTCATTAATTAAATATCAATATCTCCTCTTTAAGAATGTTTTATGGGTGATTTACATCCCTTTTAGCCTACAGACTCCTATTTGCCTTTTTCCAGCCAGAATGTGTTCGTAGCCGTGAGTGCAGTGAGATACAGGTATTTGATATTTATTTAAGAATGATAGTTAGGTAAGGAGGGGGGGTGTTGCTGTGTTAAAGTGAAAACAGGAACTCTCACCATAGGACTATACCATCTTTGACAGACTTGAAAAGAGAGTCTGTGTTGGGATCCATGGGCAGGACGTGTTGGCAGTCAGGGTCATTTTCCAGAGCTGTGTTGATCCAGTTCACAAAGGCATATCGCTCCTCCTCTGGAAAGTGGATTATAAACAGGTGTCAGTGAAAAGCAAAATGATGAGAGTCCCTCATGCCTCATGTTATTCATAAATAACAACAGTAATCAAACTGGCATTTAGGGGGTTAAATTCCTTAAAATGATTGAATGTTTGGTAGTTTTGAGCAGGGCTGAAGTTGTAAAGAGATGTATGCAGAAAAGTAGAAAAATCAATCTGTTCTATTTTTATAGCAGTTTTTTTGGAAGTGGACATTTTTGTCCTTAGTGACTTAAGAGGATAGTAAATTAAACTGATGCCTGAGGGTTAAATATTCCAACATGACACTGTCATATTTCATAATTTAATTATGTCACATTGTCCATTACAATGTCTGTACTGGTAAATGGAGCATCTGTAGCTGCTGAGAAAAGGGTACATAGAAAGAAAAAAACACTACATAAAATCATCAGACGTGACTAGATATAGAAAGGACAATATCCATGCATCTTTACCAGAGAATGAGTGTTGTGTCCCTTCGCTGGATAGCTCAGAAGTCCCTCCAATTGCCAGGATGCCTTCCTTTTTGTTGATGGCCTTCCGGAAAGTTTTTGCTATTTCACTACCCTTTAACTCCTTGACAATCTGAAACAACAACAATACAGACTAATGAAACTATTCAGCAAAAAACCTGCATCATTTGGTGGGTACTGGTAGCTCACATGTTTACTCAGATAACATATTATGGCTGAGTCCTTTCTGCAGCAGCACACGTAAGTTACTAACCCAGGACCTTTACTGCATCTCTCTTTTTATTTATTTCTCTCTAAAAAAAAACACTGTGCTGTAACAAACATAATCATTCTCTGCTTATGTGATTAGTATCAGCTTCACAGTAGTAGCATTCAGTTGAACAGCACCGCTATCCATTCTACCATTAAAAGCCAATGATGATGATGTTCAGTTCTTGGTATTTGCAGAAATGGGAGTATCTGATTGTAGATTTACATTAGAAACACCTCCAAAAATAATGCACTCAACACAATCACAGACTATGACCTCACTGCTTTAACATCATTTTCATAAAAAATGATCACAAGGCCTCATAAAAGTCAACTTTCTAGCAGAACAGTTACAAAGGATTGCTGTACGTGTAAACCCAATAATGCAGCCGTGAAGTAAAGGAATCTACAAATCGCTTAAAAATCATACCAAGATATATCCATGCTGTTTGATTACAACATTTTTCTGTGTATTTGATTGATGACACATTTTGTATATATTCTTTTTCTTGCTACCAATAATCATTCATTGCTTGCTGAGAATTATTTTTTGTTTCGTCTTAAAGCATCAACCATCTTCTGTTCTGTTCGACCAGCTGTTTAGTTTTTTCCTTTGCTGTGTTGTCTGGCTTCTTGTAACCACCAAGGTCAATCTGCAGACAAAGCAGCACAGCAGGAATTTATCCACCCTGGTATGAAAACATAAACCTGCTACAGGGCTGAGAAGATACTTTGAATAGAAAGAAAATACTCCAGGAAAACAGCCGGCTGATGGCTTCATAAAAGCAACTGTACACCTCAGTGATCTGAAGCGAACCTGTGCATTCAACACATATCTAATCCAAGAGCATTGAGCGTGAGGGCTATTATGCAATCATATGGACAGTAACAGTAAACCACCAGCGCTACAGCAGTTAACCTCCTCTGTAGGCCTTTCCCTGAAACCCGACATTAAATAATTATCCCTGAACATTAAATCAAACTCAACTACTCTGACGATAGAGAGCTCTGTGGTGCGAGTCCATATACTACTTCAGCTAATCAGTAGTGCACAACTTGTGAGCAGCTGCAGACAAAGCAGCTTTGACAATACATATTCTGCAGTAATAACTGTGATACTTCCTGAACCTGAAGTAATCGCTGCTTCATCAGTGACCTCAGCCCCACAGGCGCTGCTGTGACCACAATGAGCTATTCAGCCTGGCACAGTGAAACATTTAAAGACAGCGCAGCACGATTTACCACAGTCACTCACTCATACAGCCACACTGCCAGCTGGCACTTTTTTTTGGCCACAACCGGTAAAAGAAGTTAGCACAACAAGGTATTTGCAACTAGTCAATTCTGCAAAAAAGCTTTTTTTAAATGTCATTTTCACATTTTAGGGCGGATTCAGATTCATTTGGATACATTATTTTATTTTTTCCCCACTATAACATGATGGAGGAGCACACACCTTTCTAACATAGTGGCCAGTGCAGTTTAGCAGCTATGTAATAACATGTTTTTTTGTTTGTTTTGATTTACCTTTGGGCATTTTTGGAGTTATGTAAATATCTAGTAAGGGTTTTTTTAAAGGACAGAAAAGGCTGTAGGACAATGACAAGCATCACATGCTGGGTTGGCATTAAACCTGCTCTGCTTTAAAATGATGTGCTTCAAAATTATTTTTTCTAAACATCTTTTTCTTAGGGCCTCAAAAGGGTTACAACAAAACATTTTCTAACCTGCAGACACATTGTGTTTGGAAAGTAACCAGAGAACATGTGTCCTAATCTTCTCAAACAGATTGTTAAAAAAGAGATCAGATGCTTGGAGGATAGATTACATTGTTTTAATCACTTTACCTTTTTAATTATAATTAAATTAATTCCACGGTTCTAAATTCAAATTTCTTAAGAGAAGGTTTTTGTATAGCTGCTCTTAACATTACCTGAACATGCTTCTGTAGTACTCTCAAAAGAATGTAATCCTACCTTTTTAATTTCCTTACATATTTTCTCACTGTGAAACTTTGCCATGGGAAAGTAAAAAAAGGCTCTCTCACTTTTTTTCATCTGAATATCATCCAGTAAAAGCAGTGAAAGGCTTTAAAAAAGACACAAAAATATTTGATATCTGATTGTCTGTTTTGCTTTTTTACACCATTAGAGATTTCTGTATAAATTCAGGGGAAACGTATTTGATTTTTTTGTCTGGTTTTATTAAAAAGTTGATTTTCTTAATTGTAAATGATCTGATTATGTAGAAGGCATCAACAAACAGAACAACCCTGGAGGCTCAGTCAGGATATTTAAATGAACATATAAAATACCAAACACAGCAACAGTAGATTTGGTTGACCCTGACACTCTTGTATGAGAAGCTGCCCCTGTGAATGACAACTCCCTCATCGCTGATGAAACTAAATACTAGAACTCACACCACTTTGCTGACCTCACTTCCACATTTCCTGTGTGGGGTTTGTAGAGGCCTTTCCACTCTATCGTGCTTAAAGAAACTGCTGAAAGTTGTTTTTATGAAGGAGGACCAGGTGGGCAGAGCACAAAACAAAGCCCGACTTGCATTAAAAGTTGCTCTGAACAGAACATAAAAACTTGTGAAGCTAAGCAGCATGCTTAACGTACCGACAAAAACTCTTCAAAGCTGATCCTGTTATCCTTGTCGCGATCCAGTTTCTGAACGATCTCTCGAACCATGTATCTTGGGAGGGGATGGCCGGACTCTTTGAGGACTTCGTGGAGTTCATAATCACAAATAAATCCATTGCCGTCCAGATCTACAAAAACACAAACGGAACAATTAGACACAAGGAAGCAAGGTAAATATTGGGCTGAAACTAATGCTAGAATTACTTCATACTATTTACACTTCACCTGTTAGCTCATCTCAAACAGATCTTAACACATTTTATTTACTGTTGCCTTGCCATAAATTCAATCACTTATCTACTTCCACTTGATTCTTTCAATTAAATCACTAGCTTTTGTAAAATCTTTTCATTTTAAAACCACTTTAAAATACCCCTTTGCACTATTACTTTTATGTTTTAAAAAAAAATATAACTCCTTCTATATTTTAGCTTCTGTTTTAACTGCCTTTTTTATTACCTTTGAATTTATTTTCAATTTTAGTTAATCAATTGAACAAATTCTGGGCATTTTAAGTTGCAAATGGTGAGACTTGGGCTGTGTAGGGTGCCCATGTTGGGTATAACCGGAGGTCTGATCCAGCCTGTGAACTGTGACTCGACACAGACTGAATAAACTGTGAGCCTGAATCCTAGGGAAGACGTTCTGAGGTGGATTGTTAAACAAAGTCCATTTCGATTAGGAAAGACCAGCAGGTGAATCTGAGTCGCCTGCTGGTGACTCTGGCAGGACAGTAAGACTCTGTGGTCAGGGACTTGAGAGCGTTGGATTTCTCTTGTACACGCAGAGCCGATTCTGTCCCAACTAAATATGGTGTATATATTTTGATTTTTAATGTCTTCATGTCATATTTCTGTATTTCTTTTGGATCTTATTTTATTTTTTCAAACATATTTTCATACTAAGTCTTCTCTGTGATTAATTGTTGTTTTTGTAATTTTTAAATGTTAATGTTTCTTTTTCTCTATAGCCGTTTTCACATATGCACTCCAGATAATATCTAGATAATTATAATCTCTGCTCCGGGGATTCTCCCGAACTAGCCGTTCACATATGCTCCTCACAGCGGGGGACTATCCCTGTCAGAGGGGAGGGGGGTCGGGGGGATTTCCTGAGGTAAGACATGACATAAAAAAACAATGCGGAAGTTGCGGACGAAGCAAGAGAGTCCGCTACACGACGTTATAATGAGAATATTTGCCTTTATATCAATGCTATGTTTAGTGCAATGGAATGACAACATCCACAAGAGAGAGGAGAACAAGATACTGACGACCAGAAAACATAATGCAGCCGTTCAATTACATGCATGGAGATCGTAGTGGTCGCCTGCAGACACTTTATGCAGTCACTGTATATAAACGTCATTCTCTTTCTATTAGCTCTAGTTGAAATCTCCAAAGTATATTCGGTCGCGTTCAGACATCAGCTCACTTGGATTTTCTGCGGAAAAAATACTAGGAGTCTGTCTGGAGAAACTCCGGGTAAAGACCGCTCGAAAAATGCGGCTGTTTGCGTTCACATATAGCCTATATCCCCTCCGGATAGCCAAGTCTCCGGAGTATTTCAGGAGATTTCCGTATGTGTTAAAAGGGTTTATGTCGTGATGCTTTGAATCGCCTTGTTGCTGAATTGTCCAATAGAAATAAACTTGCCTTGCTTATTTACTTGTTTATTGATCTTACATTTTCATATATTTTGTATTTGATTATCTTACTGTAGTCATATTTAATGAATGTTCTTTATACTCTGTTTTTAACTCTGTAAAGCACTTTGCGTTGCCACATGTAGAAATGGTGCTTTATGTAACATGCCTTGCCAATATTTGGATTATTGTAAAATGATTGAACTAACAAAACTAAATCAAGGTGACATGACTTTTACTTACCAAATTTCCCAAAGGACTCCCTCATCTCCTCTATATCCTCTTTTGATATGTTTCCAGACATTTTTCTGTGATTGACCTGAGTGGGTCACGCAGAGAAATGTGAGACTGAAGGGAGGAAACCAAGAAAGAATCGTTAACAGGGTCTCAAAGTGACAGAGTTTAAATAAATGTCATTTTCTATTCATCTGACTACGATATTCACACTTCATTGAGTTGTCCATAAAATGTCAAAATTGTGAAAAATGCTTATTTCAATTTGAATAAGCTCAAAGACATGTTTTATAATGTATTCTCCTCATTAACAAACAGAGAAATAACAAAATAATCTACATTAACTGTTGAAAATCACAAAGAGAAGCAGAAAACATTAAATAAGCTGGAACCAGCTTATTTAACCAGCAAACTAAGACATGTTCGCTTTAAACATCCCTGAAAGTAAAAAATGCAAAAACACAAAATCCATTTGGAATCACATTTCTTTTCTTTCTTTAAGTGAACTGATTGATTGATTTATTGACTTATTGCTGCAGCTTATCCAGGCCGCCACAAACCCTGTGAAAGCAACCCATGACGGGATCTCCACCTCTTCTTAACTCAAGTCAAACACCTCACTGCTCACTGTCGTGCGTCTTTCTGCCTCCTATAGAGAAAATGACCTTTTCTCTACATTTGGAACAAAACTTTTCTGACAGGTCGAAAAACTCTCAAAATAGGACTTCATATATCCGCCCGATCCCTGTTGATCCCCACCCCTTCTGATCATATCTTTACTTTCTCTTGAGCGTTTTTCCTTCTATAAACGGCCTCTCTCCCATAATCCAAGTCATTTCCTGTTAGTTCCATTGTGTAGCAACAACCCCATGCTGTTCAAAAAAGCAGACAGAGAAAAGAGACCACTTAAGCATTTAAGGTGATTTGATGAAATGTTACAACCTTTTCGAATAAATACGGTAGCTGCGAAAGCACCCCCTCCAAAATCTGACCTTTTTAAAGTATGTTGTGTTAAACCATTGTATCTGTAATGTTAAGTTATCGCTCATGCTAACTGAGCCAGCTGTAATGACTTCCGGCTGCTTCTGGTTGAGGTTCATCTTGAAGCAGTTTGGAAGCATTTTTTTTTGTATTTTAGGAGAGAAAAGTGTCATCACCCAGCAGAGAGATTAATTTGACCATGTACAGACTCAAGCCACATAACAGCCGACCAGAATCATTCTGAGTTATTCTGGTTGACCAAAAAAAACACAAAGCAGCATCCAGCTGAAAATGACTGAAAATAAGGAATTCCTCTGAGTACCTCCTTCCCATTTTGTGTGGCAGAGGAATGCTTGAGGCCTGGGCAGATCGAGCTTCACTCACAGAGAGCAGAGCGGGCTGGATTGCTTCGTTTTCCAAGGCTAAACTGGTATGATGGCATTCCTCTCCAACACAAGTGTTCAGAAAACAAAGATGAGGTTATTATGCTACGGGTAGCTAGGGATCACCGATTTTTCCAGACTGAAAAGATGTCCCATTTCCTGATTTTAAGCACAGATTGGTGATGTTTTTTTTTTTTTACTGTGTGTGTTAGTCAGAAATCCCGGGCAAGGCCACAGGTTTCAACAAACCCTACTTCTTAAATGTTGCATTCGTCAAATGGATCAAAAATCCACCCGAGTGTTTGTAATAGTTTTTATATATTGTGTTAAATATCTCAAAAGGTTTCTGTTTGTGGCCACAACAGCCTCTCCAGCACAAACACAAGCAGAGCAACAATGAACCGAGTCCAATATCCGTTCATCCTCTTTCATGAATGAAACTATTAATAGTTTTCATGACAGATGGTTCAACAGTTTACATGTGGTCGCTGAGATATGATTCACTTCCTGTAATACTATATGAACAAAGAAAAAAGTGACGAAATAACACTTGTTGAACAAAATCAGGACAGTAACTCATATGAAATCATAATCAATATTGTACAATCCTGTTCAAAGAATAACAAGGTTTGTAACATTTATCAAACAGATGCTTTCAGAGGAATCACAGGGAACACCACGTTTTCTTATAAAGAAAAACACTCAATTGGGGCAAGCACAAACCCCTGACTAAACCATTAGGAAAATGACGATACCACGGTTGCTATATTTAACTTTTCTCCAAAAGGTTGTGAAATGTGGCTGCTGAAGTCAGCCCGGCTACACAAAGGGCCGACAAACATTATGTGCCCTGTCAGCCCTTGTCACACCCTCGGCAGAGACTGGAGAATAGAAACATAAGAGGGGTCAAGTACATGGCGCAAGGGCACAGATGGCAGAGCACAAATGTGAGCCATATCACTCGTGGTACAGAAGAATAGAGGGTTTGTTATTGGTGAAACACACTGCGGTAATAAATCCTGTGTAAGGGAAGAAAATGAGTTCAGAGTATCAGGCTCCAAAGACAGTTGCAGTCTTTGACAGCTGGACTGTGTGCTGCCTCTAAGAGAGGAGAAAAATCCTGCACTCTGAACAGTAGCCACTAGCCAGCCTCTTTATGGAGCTGCTTGTGTTTGCCTACTTAGTTATAGATACCAACGGATATTAGTTGATAACAGTTAAAACGGATACATGGTATACTTTCTGTTTTTCTGATATATTTTTATTGTATAGTAAAATGAGAGCTGTTCAGATATCGGCTTCTGAACGGCTGAGTATATGTTAGTAAACCTGTTAATAAAAAGGTCCCATACCAAGACCACCCAACCCCCAGACTAGTTTGAAATAGGGCTGAACAATATATCTTTTTTATCATCCTGATTGCGAGGTGCGCATGCTCAATAGTCCCAACGCAGGATGTGTCAGGTGACCTGAAGTATGTCATGCTGCCACTTTTGTCTTTTATGTAACCAAAACTGCAAGTTTCATTGTTTCCATGACTAATCTTCAATAAGTCTGTCTGATATCATCATCAGTAGACACAGAACTAACTACTGTGCATGCAGAGTCTGTGTGCCTCATGCATGTAAAACTGCAAAGGCTACAGGAGACGCTGCTGCCATCACAGATACCACAGCATGACGCTGGAGGCAGACGCACTTCATCCCGGTATTGTTAATGCTGTGGCCACATATACGGACCTTTAACAGCGCGGATGTGTCACTGATTGTTGACTTTTAGCAGCTTCACCGGCAGTGCACACAATGAGGTGTTGTGTGAGTCACAGGCAGCTAAAGACAGTGAGCTTTCATTAGAATAAATTAGAAGTTATAATCACTGGGTTGGTCATGGAGACTAAACATGACTGTGAACATCATTAGAAATGCTTGATGACGTTCGAGTTAAACAATTGCAAGCCATAGGTTTATTTGTAAAGTTTATGAAGTTAAATGCCGCTCCTACTGGTCTCTCGCCACCTTTCCTACTCCTACTCTATGTGTGTGTCAGAATCGTTCTCAGGGATGGACCCAGTGTGTTTGATGTTTAGATTGGAAATAATAAAATAATTAAAAACGAAAATAAAGATTAAAAATTTGAATAATGTACAAAAAAAAAGACACCGCATTTATCTGGTGTCATTTATTTTATTTTCAAATGACTATATCTCAAAAAGAAAACATACAAAGGTCTATTTTCATCCCAGCTCTAAGTGAAAGTAAACTATATCGTCTGCTGTATCGTTAATTAGTGAGTTTGTCCACACCAAAATTGGTATCTGTCTTAAAAATCCCATTTCAGTAGAGCCCTGTAAATTGGGGGATGCAGTACAATGAAATAGAAATAAACAACAAAGGCCTCTACACATATCTTTCAGTCCTCCAGGTCACATGATATCTAGTAGCAAAACAAGAGCAACAGGACTAGCTTTGTAGCCTTCGGGACATATCACTACTCATCCAAGACTCCCTTTCAGTTCTCTTGCTGTTCTTTTAAAACAAGATATCACCCACAAACAAGCACTTCTTTCCAAGCATCAGCATTAATTGTTGAGCCAGAAACATCTCGTTTACACTGTTTACGATCGCCTTTGATGGATCTTTCAGTCGATTTTAAAGCCGAAGCCTGTTCACAGATGGCTGAGTTAAATGTGTAACGCCGACACACCCCGTCTGCCAGTGTTTCATCCACACAGTTACATGGGAAATGTGAGGCACACAAATAGATTGGGCACCCTTCCCAAGTGTGGTCAAGTTCATATGAACACACCCAACAACGTCTGTAAAAGGAACATGGGCGATTTTACTCAGTCACAATCGGCTGCAGATGTGAGGCAAACTGAGTCATATTTACTCCCAACAGCCTGTAACGCACAGGCCATTTATTCCCTCTAAAGCTTTTGTGGCACAGATCAGCACAGACATACTGACAGGTAAGGAGGAGGTGACGACAACAAATACT